CGTTTGGATCCAGCAGTCCATCACTACACCCCTGGTCCTAGTCCTGGGATATCTATCTGTGTTTGTCGACGGTGGGGTGTTTGACACCTTTTCTTTTCCCGTTACATGACCTTCTAGTCTCCAGGGTTGGTGGGGAAACACCCAGCGGGCTTGAGAGTCGAGGGTCAAACGCCTCTTGTCAAGAAGTATTACCAACTTACAGTGTGTACACAGTACAGTACTTCCTCCCCAGACCGCATGGGATGGACTGCAGCACTGGCCAGCGCGGGCGCTGTGCGAAGGTCGAGGAACTGGACTGGAATGGACTGGACTGGTCTGGTCTTGAGAGTCCAGAAAGATCAAACCCCGCTTCTAATCTCTCTTCCCTCCCCTCCCCAGGCTCTTGGGCTAACCATGAAGTAATGGATAAAGTACCGTAACTGGAGATCCAATAGGATCCCTAGAACATACTTTCATCCCGGTAAGGGTCGGTATTTGGCAGCTCGCTAGCTGCATACACCTGGCCCGATATCGGGGCGTTGATTCGATGTCTGTTGTCATGGTGGATGTACGGTAAGTTAAGGTCTTGTACACCGCTTGGCAGGGCTGTGGAAGTTGGATTTGCTGGGCTGCTTAACTACTACCTACGCACGATAAGTACTAAGGTAGCTTATCGACATTCGACACTATCAGCTGGATGTATACCTTAGGCAGCAGGTATTGACTACCTGGGTTTCCAACCCCACCGTTCCTTTGTAGTGCTACGTATAATTAGTGTGCCATGCCTAGCTTAGTAGGTTCCACTTAACGTCGCTGTGAGTTTGCCGGGTGAGATCTTGGGTTGAACTAGCTTTGGATTTGGCATGTGGTTTTGCTGAGTGGAGAGCATGGTGGAGAGCAAGGTGTAGCCGAAGTCTACTTCGTGGATCGGTAGGTGGATATCTTGGTGGCCAGCTGTCTAGTGCGTTGCTGGACAGGATGGTAGAAGGATAGACGGAAAGAGGTGTCTTCTCGGTGGGAATACCTAGTACCTGAGACATCAGATCCTGGCGCTGTCTCGGGTCTGTCGGACTCTGGATCGTGGGAATTTTGTTTGTGTGGTGTTGGACGGCTACGCAATCAGAATCACATGTGACTCTCCTGTTTGTCGCTCGTGTGGACCTGGTGGAAAGCAATCACATCCTACACGCATTGAGGGTGTTTCCTGTATGGGTCATATGTATGTACACGCATCCTAGGTATCTACTGTCTGGTACTATGTACAGGATGTGCAAAGATCCGAGTCATCTATACTTTACAAATGAAACCGTTATCCATCATCAAGCCATGTCTACGTACCCCGTCGATTCCCCAGGCAGGCATCGGCATCGACGGCCCAAGAACACCCCAAAAACACATCACTGTTACACGATCATATATTCGCCTTCCTCCCGTTTGACCTGCATCACCTCGTGCCACCGAAATCCCTGTCTGCGCGAGGGAGACGTCGGGACCTCCGTAGAGAGACCACTCCAGCCGCTCAAGGCGCCAGGGCTCATATCGTCCGCCACGCCCGCGTTTGACTTCAGGTGTTGGTTGCCGAGACCTGCTGCTGCGCCGTGGTCGTAGGGATCCCCAGTCTCGGACGCGGGAGGACTTCCCGCCCATATCTTTTCCAGGAGCTCCAGACAGGTCAGATTGTTGATAAACCCGGAATCCTTGGAGAGATACAGACACCGCTCCCGGATGATCGCCCGGTGGCTGGACAGCACGCACTCGGAGCCCGTGATGAACAGCGGCCACAGGAGATACGCATCACACTGGACGGCCAGAATGTGAGTCATTGTCCGTTGCACAATATCCTGGATACGAGGATGGCCAGACGGCAGATCGGGATGGGCAAGTCGCTCGCTGTAGAGAATCGCGGCGTGGCGAAATGATTCAGAAATATGAATCACATCGTCCAGATGTTGCGGTGCCACCCTGGATTGGCTCGGAGGAGACGATGGTGGCGAGATGTAGGTCGTCGCATGATGGGGAGATGATGATTGTCGCCGTCCCGTGTCAAACCTCCACGATTCAAGCTTCTGCCGCAGGCAGTGCCATTCGGCCCAGAATATAGGAGAAGCCGGGGCTGAGCTAGAGTCTCCCGCCTGGGGAGGAATGAACCTCGTAAACGACTCGGAAGGCATACTCGGTGTACTCGTGCAGGTATACGCGATATGGGGAGGGACAGTGGTTGATGGGGCATGGACTTCAGGAGATGTCGAGGTCTGCGTATCTTGGCTTCGACTGAGGAGATTCAGGCGACCAAGCTGCGCAATGAGTTTGAACAGGCTGGCATTACATCCAGCCAGATTTTCAAGCCCCCATTCGCCATCCGAAATTGCGGTTATGTCAAGACAAGCGCCGCGAAGTTGGATGTCCCGGTCGTTCGTAGTGGCCGTCATAGTGTCGAGCCAGGTGAACATGCGAATAAACCATTTCAGTTCTTCGGTCACATGGGCGGCGCCATTGCACAACCGAATGGCCAGCAACTTGGTCACACCAGCGAATTGGGTCTTGAATTGCGCGACCCCCGTGTCACACCCATGGAAGAGGCATAAGACGAGTAAAGTCGCGAGCACCGAGTCCGATAGCCGTTGTCGCGGATCGGCCAATTCTCCATTCAACGCCTTGACTGCCATACTTCTGTAAAGATGCTCTTCGCGCGCCGAAACTTTGGGGACGTCAATACCAGTCTGGGTGCTCAAAGACGCCTCCGTCAAAGCCTGGTGAGCCAATGATGACATCCGTGCGGGCAGGGTACGCTCGGTAGACCTTGTGCCCCGTTCTCGTCTCTGGCGCATATTGCATAGAGACAGGGTTGCTATGGCTTCTTGGAGCGATGTGCTTTCTTGCGCTAATCGCAGAACGTACGTGCGGAATGGATTGGTCGGCCCATCAAAAGCAACGATCATTGGCGCAATCACTTCAGCATAATAGCTAATCAGGAATCGCAGGCGCGGTGTTCGTCCGATTGAGCGCGCTAGTAGCTGCTGAGATAAGGATGGCGCATGACATTCAACGACCCAAGGAGTCCTTTCCTGACCACTCTGCTCTGAGCTCTGTACGGCCTCTTCTTCAACACTCGGATCATCCCTGGTCTTTGCAATTGGTATTGAAGTCTGTATTGAGGCTGGCCATGTCGGCATTGCCCATCTCGAAGGAGCCAACGAAGGAGAAGGTGTCGCGTGATGGCAGGATGACACGGGTAGTGATTCTGAACGAGGTAACGAACGATTGGAAGGGGTTTGGTTAACAGATGACACCGGACTCGAATGCGGTGGCAACTGATTCGCAGGTAGGTCTGGCCTAGGACGTATCCTCGGATTAGAAGGTGTGCGACCGACTTCCGACGAGTCTAACGTAGAAAGTGGTCTTGTATGCGCAGGCAACTCCGATGCACTGGAGTCTGTCGACTGTGATACCCTCGACGCGGCTGCCGCACGAGGCTGCGACGAGGCTGCAGCTGGCTGAGCCCCAGTCACAGGCAGGGATAGTCCTCGAAGCTTTCCCCGACTGGCCACCCCGACTCCCCACGTCAAAGTGGTCTTATAGCCGGCACAATCGCGGCCATTGTCCAAGCATTGGGAGCAGTATGGTCGTCTCCGATCGCATTGACTTGCCTGTCGAGCACAGGTAAAACAGTCATCGGCTGCCTGGCTGATGACTGTTCTCTTCCGTCTTTTCCGCGGAGGTGCGGCGGAGACCGGCGGCGATTTGCGCCCCTGCCCCGTTGGCAGAGGTTCCATCACCAAGCCGACTACAAATCGTGGACTGGAGGAGAGGTAAGCAGGAACGAGCTTAGACAAGCCAAGTGGAGGTGACCCGGGGTGCGGGGTCCCATGGATGATAGATCAAGCAAGGCAGTAGGTTAATTGCGTGGTCAAGTCGACGGTGGCAAGATGGGAGGAGTAGTGGTAGCAACACCGTCGAAGCTTATATACCGAAATCGACAAGGGATCGAGGTGACTGGGAGAAGTGAAGTTGGACGGTTCGAGGTTTGATCACACAAACATATCAGAGATGACCCCCATTAGGCCCTCATTCTAGCTTTGCAATGGGGTCCTGGAAAGGTGGACGGGCAGTGAAGGGCAGAACCGGCGATCGTTGCGGTATCATCCGCCGTTAGGAGATGCCGACCCGGAGATTTAATTTATTATTGACTTATTAACTGCTTAGTATTCTTAGCACACGGTGAGAGAAAATGTGTATTCGTCAGAATAAAATTGCCTCTAGCTGTAGGCTCCATTTCAAGGTCCCCGCTGGTTGATCTTGAACCATGGTTGAAGCTTGGAGAAGAGGAAGACAGTTGAGGAATAGGAGAAATGATGAATAATGCATGAGCGAGGCAGCGAGAAGCCCAGCCTGGATGAAAGTTGGGGAGACCCAACAGGGACTAGTGCGGCACATGTTCCCACCGGGCCGGATTCGGGTCTGGCCGGTCTTCTAAATCTATTACTCCTTTGGGGCAATCTTCTACACTTCCAACTACTCCGTACACTTCTCGGTCAAAGTCGATCATCCTTGGAGTATCCATTTATTTGTGCAGTTTCTCAACGGTCCCATTGTCAACTCTCGTTGATTCTCGGATATAGGACTTAGCTCGGAGCCATGACAAACCGTCCCAACTCAAACCTCTCCTCCGGGAGCCGTGGCTGCACTGCACTAGATGATTGAGACTGTTGCTATCCACAGGCCTTCTTAGCCTGTGTTCATAGTCGTCTGATAATTGCACGAAGCATTTCTTTCCCATTGACCTGCAAGACTTTTGCAGAATGAGATTCCTTGAGTCAGCAAGCACAACTAAGAGCCTTGAACATCCACCGATGACTATCTCCAGACTACAATGACTCGTAGACGTGGTTATTTATAGTGGTGCGCAACGTAAGTCCTGGATTCTGCCACCGCCTACCCAAGGGGAGCGCATCTCTCGACGATCGCCATCCATTTGCCAACCATGGATTCCACTTCGACGGCGTCGAGGTCAATTGAGACCGACATTCATAACTCGAAAAAGTGCTAGCTGTATGGCTGCAACTGTCCGACTATCCCCAGTCTGACTTATTCACCCACTATCCTTCTGATCGATCAGCGTCTGAGGCCTTCCAGAGCCCGATAATAATCCAGGCCGTGATTCGCATCTCTCCTGGGACAACAACATCGCCGCCAATCCTTCCTACACAACCCCCTATTCCCAAAGTCGCCTATCATGTTGACTCCTGCTTGAATGCACTGCACGACTACCTGCTATTGAACGATACTTCCAGTGTCTCCCCGTACCCACTGGACAAACCTTGCAATCGACGAAACGAAACCAGCCAAGAAACGAATTGCCTTCGTGAAGACTGCTAGCCGGCGAACCTCTCGATTGAGACGCGGTCTCAGATACCAAGATGCCGATCCTTCGACCGGGTAGACTGAAATCTTTCATCACGGCCACCGGCGCCTTACTCCTCATCTGCACCGTTTATGTATACTGGGCACCCCCGCCAGCGTCGGTAGTCCCCAGTACGGCCTTCGAGGTCCCTCTAGTCGAACGCCAAAATGCATTCTGGAAGGTCTTGAAACCGATCCTCGAAGAGAATGGGCCAAACTGCCCATCGCCTGGGCACACCGACGATGCCGGTGCCGTCGGCTTCGACGCCACGTCCACCGACCCTCGCCCCGACTTGACAAACCTCGAAGAAGAGGACCTACATACCATGGAGGAGGCGCATGCACGCTACATCGAGGCGTGTCGTACAGCCGAGAAACTGCGACCCGTTCACTCGCCCGGCACTCGCGGCGTGGTTTCAACGGCGGGGGGGACCTACTTCCCCGTGTTTCTGTCGTCGCTGCGGATGCTCCGACGCTTGGGCTCGACATTGCCGGTGGAAGTCTACATGAAGGACACCGACGAGTACGAAAAGCAGATCTGCGATGACATCCTCCCCGACCTGGGCGCACGGTGCCTGGTGCTCTCGGACGTGGTCGGCAAGAACGCCATCGAGCACTACCAGCTCAAGATCTTCGCGGTACTGTTCTCCTCCTTCGAGGAGGTCATCTGGATGGACGCCGACTGCTTTCCGCTGACCAAGCCCGAGGTGCTGCTGGACGCGGAGCCCTTCAAGTCGGCGGGGCTGGTGACGTGGCCGGACTTCTGGGCGATGACCGCGTCGCCGCTCTACTACAACATCTCGCGCCAAGCGATGCCGCCCATGTCGGCGCGCGCCTCGTCGGAGGCTGGGGCGTTTCTGGTCTCCAAGAAGACGCACCAGATGACCCTGCTCCTGGCCGCGTACTACAACTACTACGGCCCGTCGCACTACTTCCGGCTGCTATCGCAGGGGGCGCCGGGCGAGGGCGACAAGGAGACCTTCGTGCAGGCCGCCACAGCCGTGGGCGAGCCGTTCTACGCGGTCAGCGAGCGCGTGCAGGCGGTCGGGCACGCCAAACCGGGCGGCGGGATCTCCGGGTCGGCGATGGTGCAGACGGACCCGATCGCGGACCACGCGCTGACGAGCGCGGGCCAGTGGCGCGTGCAGGACCCCGCGGTGGCCCCCGCGCCCCCGGCCTTCTTCATCCACGCCAACTACCCCAAGTTCAACCCGGGCGAGAAGGTGTTCGGCATGAAGTGGGAGACGGCGCCCACGCTGCGCGCCGACGGCTCCGACGGCCGCGCCTGGCTCGTCCCCGAGGACACCGTCCAGCGGTTCCGCTACGACGTCGAGCGCGCCTACTGGGCGGAGATCAGGAACGTCAGCTGCGACCCCGCCATCAGCTTCTGGACCTGGGAGCGCAAGGACGAGATCTGCGAGAAAGTCGAGGCCTACTGGGGCAATGTCTTTGCCGAGCCGCACGACGATGATCCCAAGTTCGGTTGATGAGCGCCTGATCCTTTGATCCTTTTTTTTTCCTGCTGAAAGTCGATACCACAAACAGTTTTCGTTTTTTCTTCTCTTCAATCTGACAGATATGCGTTATGAATGACACGGGTTTGGGGTGGACCGTTGTGTACATCTTACGATTCTACACTGATGCATGTTTTGTATAATCTTCATTCATGATACCTTCTATCCCATGATCTTGTCTTGAAGCATGGCCCATCCTCTCCACGATAGACGCTAGCAGAATAGTGCCAACATATTTAAAGGCTGCCCCCCCCCCCCCCCCAACGCACAACTCTAAAGCCGAACCAAAACCTCAAAACCACTCTACACCAGACACTACAAATCCCAGAAAACTAATCATTGCACATCCAAATCAATCATCATTCAGAAAAAATCGTCATCACGTATCTTTAACCGATGAGATAACACCGAATTCCAACAAGAATATTATACATAAAGTCCAGCTTCAGGCATTATTATCAGAATCTAGTGCTTGATACCCTTCTCCTTGAGTCTCTGCTCGTCCTCGGCCTGGAGTTCGGCATCGATCTGGGCGCCCTTGGAGGGCTTGTTGCCGTGGAGCTTGGCCTGTGGACTTGGATGTTAGTTTACGGAAGTGTGATGGATGACGGGGCAAGTGGGAAAGGGGGCGGGGCGAAACGTACAGGCTTCGTGGGGTCCTGCTTGCTGAGCTCGGCCTCGGGGTCCTTGGTGAAGTTGTGGTGGTGGTCGCTCTCGGGCTTGTTTTCTTGGGAGGCGAGCTTGTTGGCGATGGAGCGTTGGTCCTCTGCAGGGGGACAGGGTTAGGATGTTCGTTCCGGGAGGAGAGGGGGGGGAAGGGGAACAACAGGAAACACGTACTGGAGTCAAGGTTCTTGTGGCTGTGGGTCTGGCCCTCGGCGTAGCGGGCACGCTCGTTTAACTCGGCCTGGGGGACGTTGCGCTGGTCACCGGCCTCGTAAATGGCGCGGCTGCCGACGCTGGACTGACCGGATCCGGAGGTAGACATGGTGGTTGGTTGTGTCGTGTTGTGTTTGTGATTATGAAAAGAAGACGGAGATATTGATTGAGGATAGGATTGATGTTGTGATCGTAGGTGTGTTTGTCTGATTGAATGGAGGGAGATGTGGTGTGCAGGTCACTTTATAGACCTCTGTCGAGGGTAGGAAGAGCCCAGTTGGTGATGTCATGGGGGAGTGTCGCTGAGATCATACCCCGGTGGGGAACGCACCGCACCCACTTTCTGCTCGGTGCCAAAACCGCTTTTTTTTTCGCTCTCTGTTGCGTGCTGATGATGGATGATGTAGTGCTGCTGCTCTTTTTCTGGGTAAATTACCCAGTAGCTTGTTGCATAATCGAGGTCTCTCTCCTTCCCTCCAGGCGCAGTTGACGACATTGGTTGGACCCTGGCTGCTCCCGGTCAGTCTCGGCGGGTTTCGATTGGAATCTTTTCCGAGTTCACGACCAGGGGAAAGTGATGGAGGGATCGATCTTGGATCGGATCTTTGGGCTTACTCATGCCCCGTTTGTGGTTAATGCGGGCGTGACTGGCCTCTTGTTGAATTGTTCATGTTCAATTGTTGATCCCTCCGTAGACAAGGTGATATGCTCTGATATCATGGGTGGTGGTTTAGGAGCTCTTTGCTCCGGAGGTCGGTGTCCAAGAGATCTATCCATCATTCCACATCGCATGATGGAGCATGTCTCGTTAGATTGATCGTCCTCAAGCAATCCATCTTCACACTCTGTTGTCGTCACTTGTTGGGCTGCCATTGAAGTTGTCATGATCGCCCAATGGTATCTGCAAGATCACCATCTCAGTGATCTCGTTGTTGGTTCTCCTTAGATGGAAAGCACCATACGTACGATCGAGGTGCCTCATGAATGAGTCTTTAAGAATCCAATCACACAGCTGTCACTTCCAAGCATGAGCTCCAGCGTTGGTGATCGTTGGTGTGTCGACTGCGTGAGAACACAATGCTGAAACTCCGCCTCGGCGGACTGTACGCAGTAGGAGTGCACATAGGGTCGAGTGCATAGCATTGAGTGCATAGTATCAGGTGGAATGAGCTCGCAAAGCTGGAACAATAAACAATTATCCCAAAGAGAGACAGTCTGTGTGTACCTCACACGAAGCACACCAAAGACATCGTCAAGATCCTAAGGCATCCACAAATTGAAGCCAGCGATAATTTGTGGTTATCGGCGATAAGACACTGCCTATCGATAAAAAAAAATGAACTAAAGCGGTTAGTGAGGGGACCCGCGGCCGGGCTCCGAGCAACTTTTTGTTTCGCTCCGCCTTAACTACTACTTACTGTACGATCAATTCTCCTCTATATACATTCATTCATTCCCACCCCACACAAACACAGACACAAAGGAGACAGACACAATGGTCAAGCGCAAGGAAATCAAAGACACCGACGTCGACATGGGGGGTACAGATCCCCGCGTCGAGAACGACTCCGACTCCGACGAGGTATGTTTTGCGCCTACACCACTATCCCAGAATACACTCTCCAGAAAAGAACAAACAACCAAACTAACTCAATGAACTCACTCGCCAAGGACATTGACATGGTCAACGTAGACTTCGAATGGTTCGACCCGGACCCGGAAGTCGACTTCCACGGCCTCAAGAACCTCCTCCGCCAACTCTTCGACAACGACGCCCAAGACCTGGACATGTCGGCCCTAACCGATCTGATCCTCTCGCAAGCCTGGATGGGCTCGACCATCAAGACCGATGGCAAGGAATCCGACCCCTACGCCTTCCTAACGGTGCTCAACCTTCAAGAACACAAAGTCAGTTGCAGTTGCAGTTGCCCCCTCCCCAAAACACCCCAACCCACCACAAAACACTAACCCCCCAAATCAAAGGACAAACCCATAATCCAATCCCTCACGCACTACCTGCACCAAAAAGCCAGCACCAACGCGGCCCTCAGCCCCCTCGTCCCTCTTTTGTCTGGTTCCCACAAAATCGGCCTCCTCCTCACCGAGCGCCTCATCAACATGCCCGCCGAGGTCGTCCCGCCCATGTACACGATGCTGCAGCAGGAGATCGCCCACGCGGTCGCCGACAACGAGCCCTTCGACTTCTCGCACTACCTCCTCCTCTCCAAGACCTACGAGGAGGTGCAGTCCAAGCTGGACATGGAGGAGTCCCGGCCCCTGAAGAAGGGGAAGAAGTCTGCAGCAGGGAAAACGGATCGGTTCTTCTTCCACCCCGAGGACGAGGTGCTCGAGAAGCATGCCCTCTGCGCGGGCTCGTTCGAGTACTCCCGCAAGCAGGACGATGGGCACTCCGACTCCAAGCGCGCGTTCCAGGAGTTGGGGATCCGGACCAAGGGGAGTTTGATTCTGATTGAGCGGGGGCGGTTGGAGGGGGCGGTGAAGGCGATGGCGGAGTATGTTGGGTCCGGAGGGCAATAGATTTCTGGGTCTTGGTGATTTGGGGGGGACAAAAATTAGGATATACTTATAATGGATGGATACGTTTGATGGCTGGGTGTTGTTGTTGTGTGGGTGTAGGTGGTGGTGTGGCTTGGTGGTTGTCTCTTTCATGTAGAATAGGTGCGTGCATGTCTAGACGGACACATACACAGGTGAAGTACAGTCAGTACACAAGAGCAGGCCCCAATATGCACTCCCTCTACTCCGTGATTATCAAACTCCCCTACAGTCCTGCAGCTACAGACGCAAATCAACACCATCAAGAAAACTTTAAGTCTAACTGTATCAAACACAGCCCACAAATATTCAGTCCGGAACAAGAGAAACTCCCAATCACATACACATAACTATACACAATACCAAACCGGTGCTACATAATGACTCCCTTTTCAGTGCTTTCTTTCAAGATTCCACTCTTCCTACTTCCAGAGCCAGACGCCATCCTTGCTCCGCTGGGCCTTTCTTTGCAGAACCTCAGTCACCTTCTCGCGCACACCCGGTTTGCCGCCAGTCAGGCCGACAAAGTGCTCGATCGGATCATCCTTCTTGCTCAACTCGCCGCGGACGTACCTCCGGATGCTCGCCTCCGTGGGCAGACCGTAGTTGTAGGGGTAGTCGTTGTAGTCGTGCTCGCTCAGCAGCTCGAGGCGGGACTCGCCCTCCGGGAGCGTGAAGAAGCGGTCGACCATGTCGGTGGTGACCTCTTCCAAGGAGGCAGGCTGCCACATGGGTTTACGCTTGCGGACCAAAAGGGCCCTGACGCCCTCGTTGAAGTCGGGGTGCCGCATGAACTGGGAGGCGATGTGAGCCTCGCGCTGGAAGGCCTCGGAGATGGACCACTGCTTGCCGACGCGCATCTGGCGCAGCGCGACCTTGAGGGAGGTGGGCGAGCGTTTGGCCAGCGTCTTCAGGGTCTGCTCGGCCCAACTCGTATTCGCCTGCTGCAGGGCCTCGATGATCCCTTCAACCGTGTTGTGGCCGAAGCAGCGGTCGATGGCCTCCCGCTTCGCACCGCCGAGATCCACCGTGGTCGACTCCGGCAGACCCGTCGAGAACTCTGCAATGGTGCTGTTGACCAGGTCCAGGCGCTCCGGCAGCGTGGCATAGTCCTGAAACACCAGCTCGGACAGACGCTGCGTCAGCTTGCCGAGCATGCTCGAGTGCAGGTAGTGCGTGGCGATGCCGGCGAACAGGACCTGGGGCCCCCGCAGTTGCTCCGAGGTCAGAGCCAGGTAGGTGCCCAGCTCGCCGTCCAGCCGGGGCAGGAAGAACGAGGCGCCCACGTCCGGGAAGAAGCCGATGTTGGTCTCGGGCATGGCGAAGATAGTTCGTTCGGTGGCAATGCGGAACGGCGCGTGGGCGCTGAGGCCCACCCCGCCGCCCATGGTGATGCCGTCCATCACGGAGATGAAGGGCTTGGGGTAGGTGGCGATGAGGTGGTCGAGCTTGTATTCACTGGCGAAGAACTCGCTGGATCTTTCCGGCCCGTCCTCACTCTCTCTGTTCTGCTCGGCCAAGTCAACAACATCTCCGCCGGCGCACATCGCTTTGTCGCCGGCTCCGGCCACCATGATCACGTTGGCAAGCTGAGACTTCTTGTATTCCTATTCGATCGATCAAGCTTGTTAGTACCCGCCAAAGGGCCACTCGAAGGGCGAATCGAATCGGAGGGACACTCGCTTACCTCCAGGCGAGGGGTGATTTTGTCGACCATCGACCGGTTCAAGGCATTGAGCTTCTCGGGGCGGTTGAGCTCGATCAGCCGCACGCCGTAGAGAGAGCTGAATAGAACGTCGTCCTCTGCGGGGGTGGGGGCGCTTTTCATCTGGAATCGATTAGCATCCCAAGCTCGATTAAGACAATTGACTGAGCGTACATTGGTAGCAGAAGCCGTGAAGGCTCGGTTAGTGACTTTTGCGCGGAGAGGCATGGTGGTGGCTGGTGAAAGCCGCGAGATCCAGCTCGACGGCGTTGAAAACCGGCAAGCACTGTGTCGGACCAACATGAGGCAGACCACAGCCGGGTTTTAAGGGGGGAGGAGAAGTGGACTAGAGGGACGGAGGAGGGGGGAAAGAGAGGGGAGGGACTGGAGGGACTGGAGGGACTCGGGATGATTCAATAGGAGGAGGAAGAGGAGAAGCAGCTTTCGTTCGGGTTCTCCGCTTTGCAACCTTGAATTGACCTCGGAGTTTTTTTCGCGCCCATGATTTTCCTCGCCGGCCAGCCGCGGCGCAATCGCCCAACGGCAACACATTGCCGTGACTTTCTTGATTTTCTTGATTTTCTTGATTTTCTTGATTTTGAAATGGATTCGTCCCGACTATGGTTTAGTTGGTCTAGTAAAGTTTAATGGGTCGTCTCTTTTACAGATATTTTGGAACCAATGGCTCCGATTCAAAGCATCCATCAGCACCTCTGATACCACCATCACTACTTACAACCTACACCCACACTCCATAGCATGATACACACGTAGGACAACACAATTCGAAACGAACAGATTTTGGACCCATCATACACATTGCTCAATTCTATTTGTACAATCAGAGAAACCATATCTCGGTTAGAAAGCAAAATCACACCCATACCGAACAAACAAACACAATGAAAAATCCCCATCGCCAACCTAAACTGCAATTCAATACAAGGCCCGCCTGGGCTCGTTCTGCAAGTCCCTCGAATGTTGGGCCAGAATGCGGTCCAACGCCTGCTTCTCGATGACCAGACGGCCCGTCTCCAGCAGATCCTTGACATCCACGTCGCGACGGTCCAGGATCTTCGCATGCTCGCCCACCTCGCGCACCAGACTGAAGAGGTTATCGTTCACCTGGTCCGTGATCAACGTCGACCGGCCGAACTCCCGACCCCAGCAGTTGGTCTTGAAGATCTGCTGGACCAGATAGGGGGTGGCGTCCTCCGGCAGCGCCATCTCGTTGTCGATGATGATGAGCTGGCCCCGCTTGTAGCGGTAACTGAGGGCTATCCGCCAGGCCTGGTCGTAGATCTTCCGGGGCAGGTCCGTCGAGAAGTCCCGCGGATGAGGACCGAAGGCGACACCTCCGCCCTTCCGGATGGGGGACTTCTTGTCACCGGCACGCGCTCTACCGGTACCCTTCTGGGCGAACAGCTTCTTGTTGCTGCCGTACACATCTTTCCTCCACTTGGTGCTGGCGGTACCTTGTCGGGTCGCGTCACCCTCGTAGATGACGGCGCGGTGCAGGATGTCTTTGCGGAGGGCCATGGACAGGTGGTTGCGGGGGTATTCGACGAAGCGCAGGGGTTCCATCGAAGGGAACGAGTAGGTGGTGGCCTTGACGGGCTCGGGGTTCCATACGGGCTTGGGGACCTCCCGCGTCAGGTGGTCAATGGGGGCGGTGGCCTCGGTGGCCTCGGTGGCCATGGAGCGGGACAGAGACTTGGTCAGGCATCGTTGCTATCAGCGAGAAAAAAGGTTGTCAGTATGCGTTATGAATTATACGTTTTTCGTTGGATCTTCAATGACATCGAATCAGACCAAGGAAGAAATTAGGCCGTCCTACCGTGGTTGTCTCAGCCCCGGAGAGCAGACCCCCCGAGCTGCGAGTGAGCCGCAGGAGGGCGCGAAGAGCGTCAGTTCCAGCCATTGTAGATGACACAGAGCAAGAGAATCCTTTCGAGGATCAACCTGAATGGAGGACAGACGATCGCAGGGTTGGTCGCGGGCGGAGGGTAGAGGGGGAGAAGCAACAGCAAAAGTTCGGGTGGTTCTGGCACTAAACCGCCTTAAGGCTTGGCCAAACCCGACGAAAAAAGTTCCGTCCGGCCAGGAAAGGAAACCTCTCGACTTTGCCCAGTGCAGTGCCGGCTTGACCTGGGGAAATCTATCACCACTACCACCACCACTACAACCACCACCACCAGCAGCTCCTGCTCTTCCTTCCCTCTCCCCTCTCTAATCCCCTCAATTTCACCTCATCTTATCCCTCAAGATGGCCCATTGTGAGCGGGCTTCGAAGCCCTTGCTCCAATGCCTGCAGAAGACCTACACCAAGGGTCTTCCAGGTCTTCAGCTGCAGTCCACCCGCGCCTTCCAATCGACCGCTCTGGCGCGCGAAGAGGCTCAGACCGAGACCAGGTCGCAACCCTTCTACAAGGCCCCCGATCCGGCTACGGTCTCCAACCCCCGACTGGAGCGGAAGCTATTGCGCCAGGGTGTCGCCCCGATTGGATCCCGCCGTCGTCGCGTGGCCCTCCAGGACTCTCTCAACATCCCCTTCGAGCAGCTGCCCTACCAATGTTTCCAGGAGGCCCGGAAGATTCTGGTGGCGGACCGCGAGGAGAAGCTACGCGAGATCACATCGATGCGGGAGAAGATCTCGAGGCTTGAGGGCTTGTCGACCGAGCAAGCCGGCGGAGAGCAGGTGAAGAAGTCCAAGCTGCGGGCCATGGAGCTGCACCTGGAGCACCTGAAGATTCAGGCGGATATCAACGACCCGCTGGTGAAGAAGAAGTTTGAGGATGGACTAGGTGAGAATTTTCGGTTTAGGTTGTCGTTGTTGTTGTTGTTCCGCTAGGCTAATTGGGCCGCTGTTGTTTGTTGCAGGTGACATGAGCAAGCCCATCTACCGATTCCTGGCCGACCGCAAATGGCGAGAGTACCGCCGCAAGATTCTCGTGCAAAGAATCACACAGATGAAGGTGATCCCGGATGTCATCCCGCACTGCGAACCCACCCTGGACACGAAGCTCTACTTTGGCCGCCGGCAGATCCAGCCGGGCGAGTTTGTCGACTCGAAGCTGAGCACGGAGGCGCCCAAGCTGAACGTGCAGATGTTCGAGGCCGGCGAGAAGCTGGTGACCATCGCCGTTGTCGACCCCGACGTGCCCAACGTCGAGACGGACGGGTTCGATTTCAAGATGCACTACCTGGCCGTCAACGTGCCGATCTCCGCGGTGAACACCAAGGTGGATCTGTCGCAGCTGTCGACCGAGTCGCAGGTGGTCTTCCCGTGGGCTCCCCCGGTGGCCCAGAAGGGCAGCCCCTACCACCGTCTGGCGATGATCATCTTCGAGCAGAAGGAGTCGAAGGCCCTGGATTTCGCGGCCGTCAAGGCCAAGGAGACGGCGCGCGAGAACCTGCTGGCCCGCGCCCTGGAGTCCCGGTACCAGCTGAAGCCCATCGGCGCGCACCTGTTCCGCACCCAGTGGGACGACTCGATGTATGAGGTGATGAAGTCGATTGGGTATGTCGACGCCGAGATCGAGCTCCGCCGGGCGCCTGCCGAGCGTCTTCCTTACAAGCGCCGCAACCCGGCCAACATGCGGTGATTTTTTGGTTTTGTTTCGGGTGTTGTAGTATTGTACAAGAGAGCTTTTATGTATGAATATGCACAAATTTCCTTCCCAACTCCAAACTCCAGCCATGCTTGTAGGAACGCTGTACAGTGCGTTACGTTCACTTCAATCCTCCATTCAATCCAACTGCGCCGGCTTCAACGTATTTTCCACCCACATCATCCGCGAAGGGGGCCACACCCTCGCGACGATCTTGCCATTAATCAACCCCATGGGGATGGGTCCGTAATTTCGCGAGTCTCTCGACCAGGGGAGGTTATCACCGGCGAGATAGACATGTCCTTCGGGTACCTACACAGGGACGAAGCGTTAGCAGGAAGCCCTGACCCCCAAGCGCCCAAACCCCCAAAACCTCTGATCCCCCCCACCCCAAACAAAAGACTCACCCGAATCATCTCCCCCGTCCCTCCAGCCTCCGTGCTAAACGGCAGATCCCGACAGACCAGATCCCCCGGCAGCCCGATCACGCGCTTGGCGCCGTTGACCCCCAGGAAGGAGGGGTGGTAGAAGCGCACGACGTCGCCGACTGCGACGCCGCGGCCGTGGCGGTGCACGCGCGAGATCAGCAGGTAGTCGCCGCGCGGGTGGAAGGTCGGGTACATCGAGGGGCCCTCGCTCAGCTGCACGGTCACCAAGTGCTCCCAGACCAGGGTGCAGGCGCAGAACAGGCCCAGCCCGTTGAGCGTGAGGCGGAAGACGTGCGCGGGCGTGCTGCGCTTGAGGGTCGTGCGGAGGAGGCGGTCCATTGCGCTGCTGCGTTGGCCGCTGCTCGCTGCCTGGGTGGGTGGGTAGACTGTGTGGTTGATGCTCTCGCCTGGTTACTATATGTGTGTATCTGAGGTACTGCGGACGGAGGAGGGTCGGTCCCGCGCCGGAGCGGAGGGGAGGGGATGGGGGACCGGGCACGTGATTCATCGGGTATATAAAGGGCGGGTAGCGTTCTCTTTCCCAGAAGTTTTTTCTTTCCTTCCTGCTGCTATGCAAGACTCGACAATGAGTCGATTGCCTCGACTCGACTCGGCTTTGCCGGTTCAATGCTTCATGCTGCATTGACCTGCAACAGCTACCGATCAAGTAGTTCCGCTTCTAAAATTGCTAGAGCTCACCGCTGCCGAAATTCAACACCAGAGCGCGTGAGTGTGGACAGTGAAGCAAGATGAATTGTACAGTTTCTCACCCTACGGGGTTGGGGGACTTCCCTGAACGATAGCCCGACCAGGACCCCATTTAACTATGGGAATGGGCGGTTGGGTGGTAACGACGGGAGACAATCATATCATCGTAAATTCTGTTAGAAAAATTGAAGCTTTCCATCACAATCATCATCTTTGCATTCTCAGCTCATCATAAACCCCGTAGGAATCCTATCACTCCTCCCACATCGCATCCGCATCTATTCAACCACAATTAGCTTCCCACCACCAGCACCACCCCCCCTCAGGAAAAACTCACCAGGATGCAACCCCCCCTCCACCCCGCGCAACCCCTCCCTCACCTCCCTCTTCCGCCTCCAATCGACCCCAAACCTCTCATCCCTCCCCCGACACAACTCCTCCATGCCCCCCTCCCTCGCCACTTTCACGCGCTCCTCCGACGTAAAACTCGCCATCAGCTCCGGCGCCCCCATCGGCACGGCATCCCCGCGATCCACCTGCCAGAAATGATACGTCTTGCCGTACAGCGGGACGATGTCCTGCATCTCGGCCGTCTCGGCCGTCTCCCAGAGCGCCTGGGGCACCCCCGCCGGCGCCGGCATGACCAGCATCCCCGATTTGACCTCGAACTCGTGCGTGTGCCAGAGTCGCCGTTCCTCCGCGGGCAGGGTGTTGTAGAGTTTGGGCGTGATCATGTACTCGACCCCCAGTAGGCGGGCGGTGGGGGACGGGCTGTCGTAGAGGAGGCATTGTCTTATATCTTTGTTCGGTCGTAGGGGTTAGTTTGGGGATAGTTTTGGGGGTGAGGGGGCTGGGGAGGGGGAGGTTATGGGATGGGGAAGTGCTGGGTGCCTTTGCTGGGGGGCGCTCACCCTCTGTGATATGTGAACAGTAGTGGTTCGCCTCCACGCAGCGCGTCTTGTCCGAGGCGTACACGTGGAAGGCGTTCAGGTGCGCGCAGATGTTCTTGACCGGCGCGAAGTCCTGCACCATGCTGGCGCCGGTCTCCAGCACCCGGCTTTTGGTGCTGAGGGGGTCGCCGGGGAGGGAGGCGGGGTGGTGGTCGTCGTGGTGGTGGGACATTGTGCTGCTGCTGCTGCTGTTGCTGTGGTCGATGGACTTGCCTGGGAATAGGGTGTGGAGGTATGAGAAACAGTGCTTGAGTAAAGAAAGCTATCTTATACGGTGGTAGCTTCTCTATACTCTTCCAGCATGTGGTGTCTGATGTCTGACGTCACGATGATTGAGTACAATGCTAATGTATGTAAACATGGCAGCGGGATTTCACTGCAAGGTCAACGTCGGCGAAGTCACTTTCGGCGAGGACTCCTTCGGCGATTGAAGCGCAGAGGGGGTTGGCTGGATCGGGGTATGGTCATATGCTGCTGTGGAAGCTGGGTTACTTGGCTGGGACTATAGAATATCGATAGAGATTTGTATGGGGCTAAATAGCCCGAGTGACAACAGTCTTAAGCATAGTTACTACTAGTATGGACAGCCCAATGCTTCCACTTCTCCACCTGTCAATCATACTACATCCGTCACATCGCCCACTCATTACCATTCAACCTAGAATATACAGGCACACCCTACATGGCATTTTTCATCTCCCGCAACGCCGCCATCACCTCAACCGGGTCCGTCTTTCCGGTCTTCTGCTGGATCTCGGGGTCCTACTAGACGTCAGTCCCCATCTCCACCCATCCAAGGCAGGTGACTTACATTGACGCGCATGAACACATTGTGAAGCTAGAACAAACATCCAAATCAGCCTTCCTTCCACATTTCCGACGAGAAAAAGACCTACCTTCTCATCCCCAATCGTAAACTTCCCCTGCGTCTCCTGGTTCGCCTCCGCGAACGCCTCCAGCCTCTTGATAGGCTCGGACTGCGACACCGCCAGACAGAACTTGACGTTGGCCTTGGTATATTCGTGTCCCGGCTGAGACCAGTCAGCTTCACTCATATAAAGACCCACCTCCACCCATTTTGACTCTCGCTCTCTTTCTCTCTCAGAAAAAGGTAAGGAAACGTACATAAACCTTAGTATCATCCGGCAAAGCCGCCAGCGTCTCATTCAACGCCTTGTGCATCTCCGGGGCCGTACCCTCGAAGAACCGACCACATCCTGCAGCACAGCACCATACATCATTAGCTCGAACACTCCCCTGACACACCACCAACTCCCTGCTAACCAAAGGGGATGGGAATCAACTCACCCCCAATAAACAAGGTGTCCCCCGTAAACACCACCTTCTGGTCCCCATCCTGCATGAAATAGCAGATGCTGTCCTGCGTGTGGCAGGGCGTGTGCAGGGCCGTGACGGCGATGCGCTCGCCGATCCGGAAGGTCTCGCCGTGCGCGGGCGTCTGCGTCACGGACTGGCAGTCCTTGCCGCCGATGACGGGCAGCTTGCCGAAGGTTTTGAGCTTGAGGGGTGTTAGTTTAGTTCGCAGCCGATAATCCGGGGGGGGGGGGGGGGGAGACAAGGTTGGTTGGTCGTTGATGGTGGAGAGTGCAAACTGACCAGCTCGTTGTTGCCGCCGGCGTGGTCCCAGTGGCTGTTGGGCTGCGTTAGCATTGTTGTGGAACATGGAGAGCACAAGCTGGAACTCGAAACTCACTGGTGAGTGTTGACGATCGCCGTGAGGTCGATCTTGCCGGCTTTGATCTGCGATTCTAGTTCGGGGGTCACCCTAGTACCACGGTCAGCGATGCACTGTACAGTAACATCAACTGTAAACCTACTCGGGCGGGTTGGCCGGGTCGATGATGACCGACTGCTTGGTGGGCTCGTCGGTGACCAGGTAGGCATAGTTGTTGCCCTTCCCGGTCCCTGTCGATGGGAATTAGCAACCATGACACACAGAAGAGAAGTGTAAACATGATTCCGGTAAACTTACACATCGGAATCGATTGGATATGCATGGCTCTGGCGGATGCGGGGTGGATGAACCTCGTAGGACGGAATCTGGCAGCTGAGAGGATCGTTCTCGTGAAGTTTAGGGACATGAGGGGTTGACAGCACCGGTTGATTATGAGCAGCTGATTGCAATGCGGGGGAGAGATTGTTAATCCATCATCATGAGATACAACCGTAAGCGGTGATTGGAGATTACCTCATAGGTCGACCCGGTCCAGCTGCGGCCCGCTTCAGCCACGTGTGGCTGAGTCGGTATCAACCATCAATGGCAGGTGAAGATTGTTGACATTTATTTTATTACTAGGTGACACTTTTTCATAGCAAGCCTGTCACAAGCTTAGTGTGAAACAATATATCTCCCCATCTATACAACTCTCCCCAAAGGTCCGAGATCTTAACATGGACCCATATACTTAATCCCTATGCGCTTCAACGCGTATAAAACATCCGCGTTGTGCACCATCTTCCGTGTCGTCGCAGCAGACCTCGTCGTGCGCCCTGAACCCTCGCCATCAACCGACGGCGCTTCCTCGTCCTGTCTCTCCGCCAGCCTCTCCTTCAGCAAATCCGTCCAGTGGTTCGCAACCTGCTCACACACGGCCAGCATATACGCATACGAGACCAGCCGTCTCCGCGACTCCCACTGCGCCGACCCCAAGATGTGGTCCAGCCACAAATAGGCACCTTCACAGCGGACATCCGTCTTCGCCTGGTCCGGCCGCGCCGTGAACGCCAGCGCATTGGCCAGCTCCTCCGTCAGACTCGACAAAAACGTAGGCTGCGCATCTGCGATCATCTGCAATAACGGTTCCCACATGTCGAATTGAGCAGCCATTGCCTCTCCCATTCTGTAGACCTTGATCAGCACTCCCACCCTCCCTTCGCGAGCAGAATCGAACAGAGAAATAGAAAACTCACCTCCGGCCTCCCAGAACCAAGAACGAATCCTGCACCAGCACACTCGATAAAGCAGCCACCCCGCGCCCCGACGACCGACACGTCGACACCACCTCACCGGCAACGGCTTTCAAATGCTGCTGGACCTTGCGTTTCTTGCGCGGGGGTTGCTGCTGCTCCCCCTCGGCCACATTCTGCTCCAGTGTATCCCGAAGCGCCAACTTGAGCGGTTCGAGATCGGCTTCTTCGTCTTCCTCTTCTTCTTGCTCGGCCTCCCCCCCTCCCGCAGCGCGCTTCTCCTGCATCCCACTCACAGAAGCCCCTGCGACCCCCAAGCCAGGAACCGACGCCTCAGTCTTAGCCCAGTAATAATCCCACAGCCACTCCAGGGACCGCTGCGACGCGTTGCGTAGCACCGTCAGCGACGGGAGCTCGCGGTGCGTGGCCTCGTGCCGCAGCTCCACGAACGAGGCGGGGAGGCCCAGGTCCAGGGCGCGCTGGAACATGGTCCGGCGGACACCGCCGAGCTTGGAGTCGACGAGGCCCGTTACGAAGCTGTGCGAAGTGGTCAGCCACAAGAATAACGGTACAGGAAAGATAAATATATAAAAGAAAAAAAAAACGATTCGCTGTGGCAAGGGGAGAACAGAACAAGCTCAAGCTCCTCCGCACTTGGCAGAACCACCCCCAGAAAAGCGCCAAAAGAACCAGTGAAAACATACCGACAGAAAGCAGCCGCATAGGTCGCGCGAATGGAGAAGATGGAGTTCTTCTGCGCGTCATCATGGAGAATCGCATCCGTTAACAAGGCGGTCGCCTCGACGGGATGGGGGAGGTTGCCTCGCAGCTTCCATGCGCTGACCTGGAAAGTGGAGTTAGCTTTTACTTCTCTCTTTCATCTGAATATCGTCCGGTATAGAAAGAAAGAACATGTAGGTCGGGTGTCTGGGATTCCGGGCGCGGGAGCTTTAGGGGACGGGAAGTGATGGGATGTGATGTGATGGAATGGAATGGAATGACATTCTCACTTACTGTGGCGCAGGCCCTGGATCGCATGTCGGGGCCATCGTATAGCGGCGGAGGGTAGAATTGATTCCGCACCACCAGTAATTGGGATTGCTCCTTCCACGGGGTGAAGATGACCTTGGCCATGATGAGGGAGCAGATCAAGTCGAAGGGAGAGGGTTTCACTCGGCTCGTGGTACACTACACAGAAAGAAGCCCTTTCTCCCCTTTTCTGCGTGTTAATTGACCTTGAATCTAGACCTGGTCCGTCTACATATCAACGGCCGCGGTGATTTTATTTGACGGCGGAAAGGTTTTTCCTGCCGATGGGCCGGGCCCGGCGAGGTTCAGGTTCTTCCCACGCATTATTCCCAACTGCCAACTGACCAGCTACCACTAACCTACCTCCCTTCCCCTCCTTGTGTGTCTATATCTACCAAAACAATTACTGGACACTCATTGTTCATCATCGTTCATCATCGTTCATCATATTTGTCATCCCTGAGGATGTCTTCATTCATTGGTGTTACAACACCCAAGGATTCTCTAATACATATAGTCATCATAAAAGAATGGAATAGTTCCAATCAGCCATCCCAGGGTATTTGGTACATGTAAAACGCCGTCCGAAACCAAACAATAAAAAAAAAAAAACACAACTCCACGCTATGCAATGCTGAATAGCGAATACAGGATTCATAAAAAATGGTACAGGCGGATGAATGCTTTCTGAAGATCAAATCCAGCCATAGCCATAGCTGACGCAGGGCTGGCTGGCCATGTTGATGAGCGGCTGAGATCCGACCATCGCATGTTGCTCGAAGCCATCCTCCTCGAAGAAGAATGATTTGTGCATCATGTTCGCAGCGGGTTTGACGGGCTGCTGACTAACGGAGTGTTGGGGCTGACGGTGAGGTGCCGCGCAGCTGGGGAAGGCGGCCTCATCCTGCTCTTGAGGGGCGGCATCATCGACTTCATCGTCCTCGTCGTCGTCCTCGTCTTTGTCCTCCGCATCGTTGGCCGAGGGAGTGAATGTCTCTTCCAACTTCAAGCCCTTGCCACACAGACCCAGGAGCGAAGTCTCGCTCAATGCTTCGGGGCTGCTATACAGGCCCATGCCAACGAGTTCGTCTTCCGAGTTGGGCTTGGCGGTCAGATCGTCATCTGGACGCTGAATGGGAAGAAACTGAGGGGTGGCCGGGCCTGTCAGGCACCCCGAGGATGACACACTCTCGTCATAGGTGGAGTCAGCGACGTAGGCAGAAGGCATGCTGCTGTGCATAGAAGCCATGTCGAATGACCAGCAATCTGACATGGGCTCGGTCATGGCGGGCATCGTCGAGTTACTTGTCTCCCAGGAGACGGGATCCTCTTGGACAAAGGCGGACTGGTAAAGCGGCAATTGATCTTGCTCGCCAGCGAAGAAAGGAAGCCCATTGGCGTACGAGGACAGCATGTCGTTGCCTTCGAGAACAGCGGGGGCGGTGGGGAGTGGCTGAGGGCACATGCCCACGGCGGCCAGGCTGTCTACAGCGGTCGAGTTCGCGAAGTACGGGTCCGTCGCGAAGGTGGACGAGTCCATGACTGGATGCCAGCTCATCGGACGGTTGCGACTACTCCGGGAAAAAGCGGATGCCAAAGCGGCAGGGTTGAATGGGGCTTGGTAGCCAGGGTACATGGTCGAACTGTGAGGCATGGTCGTCGTCCTCCGTCTGCCAGCAGAAGCAGGACTGTTGCCGGCACTCCGGGGCTTGGTCACCCGGCCGGTCTGCTTTGGCCTAGGGAAGGCATGAGTCATGTCGCGAAAGGTCGAAGAGCGCATGCATGGTTGGTTGTTGGAGGCCCAGGCTGGGTCGACGAATGAGGCTTGAGGTTGCCAGCAATTGGCCATTGAGGATAAGTGTGGGCGGTAGAGCGGAAAAAGGATAGGTATGGTCCTGAGAGGAGGTGGTGTTCAAGAGAGAGGGTGAAGGTGAGGTTGAGATTGAATTTCAAGAGGTGGTGGACAGTGGGCATGAACATTCATAAATATAGGGAAGGCAGGACGGGGGGGGCTTGGGAGAAGAGGATCTCCGCTTATATGAGTATCAAATACGGGATAGGACCCATGGATGACTGCAGGAAGCAGTAAGAAGGATCTCCGAAGTGATAGACTGGGGTTCGAGACTTATCGTCCACAGATGACACAGGGGGCGTGAGGGTCACAAGGCGTTGAGGCAAGGTACGGGAAGCAAGTGCGTGCGTGCGTGCGTACTAAGGTTAGGCCGGTTCCAGTCCCTTAGATTGATGATTGTTCGGCAACAATCCCAAGAAGTATAAGGCGATAGGCAGAAGAAAGTGACGGATGATAATAATGATAATAATAATAATTAATTTGATAGACCCGAATTAGGCATGGGTGATACATGGCGCTGTGGAACGTAGCCTATGTGAGTATGTAAGTACTTACATGGGCACATTTCTTGATCTACCATCCGCCCCAGTTCCACGATCCATTCGGGTTACTAACCACGACTGGTGTAAAGTGGTAGACTAGACTACTCTAAGTGTAAAGTGTAAAATGTGAAAAATGTGAAAAATGTGAAAAAAGGATAGACACGCGCTGGGATGACACGACGTTGACACTAACGAAAACAGACTAGTAACAGGCCAGGGCAAGACATGGGATGAGTGGAGCACTGGAGGTAGTCGTAGTCTACTGTCGTAGGATGGACCACGGCTAGGGAAGGAAGAAAGGAACGAAGGAAGGGATCCAGCCTGGTGGTGACTGGATTCAGATGAGCCCATGCCACACGATGTCAAGATCCACTTCACCCACCTGTCTTGACTCGGAGGCAAAGAGAAAATAATAATAATTCACAAAAAAAAAAAAAGAAAAAAAGCAAAACAGACTTTGGAACTACGGACCCATGGGTACTCGTAGAATGAGGGTGACGATGGATGATGATGGAGGTAGCGTGTAGCGTACTCCGTACTATCTAAGTGGGGGGAAAGTACTCAATGTTGATAGTGGGGATGATCAGACCCATTGGCCGGTCGGTAGTAAAGTGAATGATTGAGTGCAGTATAGCTAACTTAAGTGTAGCTTACTGGTAGGTCAGTCATGGAGGTGCAGTGCAGTCCGTCCACCATCTAAGAATGGGGGAAAGCCAAGAGAAAATAAATTAAACCAGATGATAAAAAAGAAAAAAAAAAAAAAAAAAAAACAGAAACAGAAGAGGGAATGGGAGACCGGGGCACGGACAGATGATCATCATTGGATAGGAAACTGGAATCGGGGAAAGACTCTAGCCAGGGAATCCCAAGCCAAGCCACCAGCAAGCAGCAGCAGCAGCAAAGCAAAGATGATGGCCGGGATGGAAGTTAAAGAAGGAACCAGAAACTGGGGCCTACCACGGAGCAGATACGGAGAGAAAGTCTGCGCGGTGGGTCTGGGACATGCCGAAACTAAACCAAACTAAACTTGGGAGAGAGAGAGAGAGGAGAGAGAGAGAAAGGCAAGCCCGAGACTCAAGCAGTCAGTCTGGGGCCAAATTGAGCAAGCCACATTACTTACTCGTAGATGAGTCCTGTACGTAGTTACCTTACCATACATACACTGATGGGTACTCCGTATACTTGCGACTTACGAGTAATGGATCATCAGTAGCCTGCATCGTTGCCTCCTCCTCCTTTACTCCTCTTTTGTCCGGTATTGGAAGCGAGGATTGGATGCTCAGGTAGTAGGAATCATTTGTGCGATCTGTTACATCGGCAGAGACTGCCCAAACCCCGAAGAAATGCATTGGCTCGTCACAGAATGTGTTGCTGCTGCTACTGCTGTAGCTAGTATGGGGTAGTACTGCCGTGTAATCTCCAGTACAGACTGGGATACGGTAGATAATTACGCACCCCAGCGATCCTTGATGACATGCCCTTTCTAACTCACTTCGCGCCCTTCCCCTCATCAACAACATCATCATGTCCCCCGTGCAATGCCGAACGGATGCTCAGCTCAGCTGCAATCTCGGCTTACAACCAGGGATAGATAGAGGAGGGCCAGTCTCGGGCCTGCATTGGCTCATATTGACTGTCAGCCTAGCAGGGACCACGACAAGCTAACACCTATCTCCTGTACGGAGTACTCAAGCCTCCCTTTCCAAGTCAGACTGTCAGTGCGTAGGACGGTTCGACCATCCAACCACTCCAGGCGCCGGAGGAGCAGGAATTGAAGGTCAATCAATGTCTTAGTCACCCCTCAAGTTGGCAACCTTAGCGGCGAATGACCCACGATCCGACCCGATCATCAGCATCAGCATCATCATCATCAATCACTAATAAATCCTGTGGCGGGCCAACAGGCCAACACCTTTTTTGGTCACGACGTCTCTGTAACTATGGAGTACTAGTCTAGTTATCTAACCCCGTGCCCCAAACTCTGCAACTCTGTCTCTGTCGAGCGAGACTCGAGCGAACCTTCGGTGGTTTCTCATCCAGCACTGAACTCCACCATCTGTATTACATTGATTACTTCTCAATAACTTACACATGCTCCTTCTTTTCCCCTCCCTCTTTGCTGACCCCTTCCCTCTCGTGCTTTTCTTGTCAATACTCGCAAGTAACCTCCCTTTTGACTTGCCGTCTCGTTTTTAGTCCCCACAAGTTCACCGTTTCCAACGCGTCACAACGCCCGTTACGCAAGGGTTACAATAACTGCCTGGATCCAGAAACACTCGTAATCGAGCCTTCGACTAATGACTACCTCACTCGGCACTTGCTCATACAATCCCCAAGCAGGCAAGCAGGCAAGCAAGCAGCAACACCCACCTACCTACGGCAGTCTCACTGCCTTGGTTCAGCCCGCAACACGGTCAAGTACTACTTGACTGGACGTGCACAACATCCAATGTAAAACCCTTTTCCCTCCCCCCCCCCACACTAGTTGGGACCTAAACACAACCAAGCTATTTTAGGGGGAACCAGGCGGGGGGCAGACGGATGGATGAGTTTCTGTCTCTCTCATTTCCGTCACGGGTCGAATAACGTTATATTTCACTACAGAGTATACACGATATACGAACAAGTCACCAGTTTTCCATCGAAACAAGCAAACCCGATAACGCAAACCCAATATGCGATGCCAAGGAACCAAAGAATCGGGGGCGGTGCCTTATCATTTCATGACATTCTCCACAGGAACAGGGACAAGAGAGAGCCAGCCCACCTACTATTTGGATTCGGTAACCTTTTTTCTACGGAGTACATACTGTTGGTATATGTATAATTTCCAATTGTCCATCGATGAACGAGGTTCGTGTCCCGTACGGAGTATTGCAACTCAACATTGTCGAGTTGCAGATCAGATCACATGTATCATCCAGAAGCCATCCCCAAATCTCATGCCGAAATGTACGAGTGTGGGCTTCGATCGGCGGTTGTACTTACGCGCCAGAAAAATAAGAAACAAAGAAACATAAGCAAGTAAATCCGGCCCCGGCCTGCCGACTAATTTATTTTGAATGGGTTGAAGGGGGGGGTGGGACTCAAGATACCTTCACCGAAAGAATGACAGGAGAGGGAGAGAGACACAGTAAGTCACCCTACGGAGTACTGAAGGAGGGGATTCATTTGAAGGGCGGCGGGGCCCAAAAAAAAAGCGTTAAGTTACCTAGAGGGAGAGCAGAGCGGGAACTTCGGCAATCAAGGAGAATGACAACATTCTGGCATAACTTCAAAGGAATTGCTTAATCCACTCTCCCCTCCCTCCCCTTCACCCCTGCGAAAATGAAATGCAATATGGTGGTGGTGATGATGAGATTTAGAGTAAAGGGAATCAGTTATAGGGCTTTGTGACCAGTCAGACGGACAGACTGCCACTAAAACTAAATCATAGCTTAGCTGTTCATTAGTTATTGTCTGAGTACGGGTGCCGCCCATCCCATCCATTATGACGAGTTTCCGCGGCTGCGTCTCCGTGCAAATGACTGCCACGCTATGTAATTCATACCGGTAGTAATAATGGGTTTACCGTTTGGGTCCAATGTTCAACCGGTGAGCGATAGTCTAGTTACTTTGCACTTGATATGCACATTGAACAAAGGGGGCGGGCGGCGGAGGATTATCCCATTGACTTAGTTGTACAGTACCTACTGTACTACTCTATAAATACGGATACCGTTTGTAGAGGGCTTCAATGTAGTGCTTACACCACATGGGGAGGATGAGCCGATGGAGACCATTTCCAGAACAAGGGTTGATACCGGACTGGGACGGGTTTTCCACGGAGCTTTACCACTTCCAGTTTAGAGCCCGGGAGGACCCCCGTCCAGAGCCCAGGTACAGGAACTTGAAGGCTGAACTTGAAGGTTCTTTCTCAGCACCTGGCAGGCTTCCTTCTTGTGCTGGTAGCCGATTTGGGCCTTTTTTTAAAGGGACATTTTGATTTTTTCTCTCTCTTTTGTTTTTTTTTTTTTTTCTTTTTGCCCAGTCACCCCGTTTTTGTCTTCCGCTTTCGACCCTCGCTGCCTGGAAAATTGGTCTTCAAAAGCAAAAGTGCCTAACCCTGCGTGCATCGGGCCAAAGGGTAATGGGAACAGCCCTTCCCGCTAGTAATCAAGAGCGAGCATTCCGCATTTTCGTGACCGGTGATCAGCCTGGTGAAACCACATCATTGATCTTCAACTGACTTACAAGGGCTGGGTGAATGAAGCACAAGCTGTGTGCTGGGGTTGGAACCTGTCCCTGTTCCGAACCCATGTCCTCAGCCCAGCTCCCCGGGGAGAGAGGCGCTGTTGGGGTTTAGTCACTTCACCTGGGCTGGAACTAAGGTAGAAAGAAGCAAACGGCCGAATGAAAAGGGCCCCAGAATGATATTCAGACCAAAGAAAAAAAATCCTCCGTGCGACGGGTTGGGCGGTTATAATCTAGACTAGACTACATCATATCATTGATGATTGAACGCAAGTGATCGGACAATTGAGATCATCGCCTAGCTCTGACTACAAATCAGAGGCCGGAGATTACAGGGAGGGGCCATCGGAACGCATGTGCAGGGCCCACTCGACTGCAGGGGACGGACGGTGCAAAGAGGGAAGAAAAAGAGACGAACAAGATTCCAGAAGGTCAGGGGTCAGCTTTGTTTTCTCTCGGATGGGGCTTAGAGGGGCAAAAAAGGGAAATTCCCACAGTAATGGATCAAAAGGGAAGGAAGGGGAAAAAATGGCCGAGGTTGAGGAAATGAGGCCATTTTAGTGCAAGTGGATCTCTCTCTCGTCTGTCTCCGAATCTCCGTCCTCACCGCGGCAGTCGGCCGGGGTTTCCTAAGACTTTTTCAGCTGACTTAGCTGCCTTTTTTTTCTCCTTTCCCGCCGTGTTAATGAGTTGGCTGAAAACGGATGGGAAATTAGTCAGATAGCCAACGTGATCCAGCCTAGACTGAGGTAGACTGGAGGCCCGGGGCCATGTATCAGTACTAACTCGGGACTCTCACTGCAGTAGGCGATCCCTTGGCTGTCACTATTGCTTTGGGGTATACGTACGTATACACCAGTACTGTGTACCACCGTACACCATAGCGTTTCTAGCCAGTTTTCTGTCCAGCATTCCGCATTCCGTACTTGATATTAGAGGTGTACGGAGTACAAGCAGGGGAGTTCAGCAGGTCCGCTCACCTCAGCGCAAGACATGTGGTATACTCTATGCATCTCGTGAAAAGTGTATGACAAGTTACTTGAGATTGGCGTGTTGTACTGTACTCAAAGAGTACTTCATAGACCATGCTGATCATTACCGACAGAAGCCCCGCTACTCCGCTATCGCAAACAGCCCAGCGCAGTCTGGAGACTAAAGATCGGGCGCAACAATTACAGCCCTGCGTTGGCGTCAATTGTCTATGCTTTTGGAGCTTACTGAGAAATACTCATAGTACTGGGCAACTTACCGGTAGTGCTTAGGTTTCAAGCAGCCAAGGGGGCGGATCATTCTTGACGGTGGAAGGCACCGTATATCGCCATCAATGCGGATGTTGCTGCTACCGTATGCATCATGATTGGGTTAAGACGCAGACGAAATCCAACTGTGGAGAAGAGTGCTATGCCAATCTTTATCGATCTCCTGTACAGTTGACCTTTCCTTTGTCGAGATCCGAGCCCTGTGACGCTGCTCTCAATCAAATGGCGGTTATCATTATCAGTGGATGAGCTATGGAGATATGGGGATGGTCGCCCGAAATATCGACCCTCGGATAATTCGATCAGAAGGCATGCTGCTGTGCTACTGGTCTCAAGACTCTACTCCTGAAACAAACACTGGGATTGGACATTACCCAAACAATCAACAATTGATCGATCTGCACGGTGCCCTAGCTTCTCCATAATCCGACCGACGCAGGCCCTGATTCATGTACTCGGCTCGATTCAGAAACCAGCAAAGTAGCGGTCGCCGCCCGGGAAACAGAACTAAATGCTGTATGGAGTAACCTTGGCAGGATCGACCAACGACCAACTACTGACTGACCTGTACCGTAAGGAGGAGACGAAGATCGCAGTTTGGCGGGTCTTTTGTCGTCTTTAATCACGCCTCTCACCACGAGTCACAAGAGTGAGATAAAATGTCTTAGCTTCGTCGCCTCGGTTGTTCGCGCTTTCAGTTGTTTATTGCTGCTACGTACTATGTTCCATAGTAGCACTAGTCATTAACTGCTCCGTATAGTATAGTGGCTTCGTATCAAGCCCGAGCGCCCTTCCGCAGGATAAGCGAAATACACATTCGGCGTTAATCAAACTTGCCCATCTGCGTGGCGTGGCATGGAAGGCTTCGCTGTATATCTGATACACCATTTACGATGCCAGCACGGTAGGCGAGCTTACTGGTTGCTATTACCAGGTTCAGTCGGCATTCAAGCCTCTCTGCCGCTCCCTTGCCTTGCCAAACGAAGGAGAACAAGAGGCTCCTGCATGGGGCTGCAGCTCGAGCTCAGATCAATGACTGCAGCGTTGTGGTTGGGGCGATCGTGACACCACAGCAAGCTGCACCGTCCATTACTTTGCTTGCTCTCGTGATGGATTTTGACCGTACTAGTGCTCGAAGCTAATCCAATCCTCGCCATCTCCTTAATGACACAGCCCACTGGCTTCTACAACCCTGTTGTTGCCGCCTTCGGCTTGAGAAGGTTTTATGCCAGCACTGAGACAAAGCCCTTCGTCCTGAACTGAGAAACAGTAGCCGACCGCAAGCCATGGCCAACGCCACGATGTCTGAAATTGGCATATACGCACCACTGGCTCTCAATCAACAGCCTGGCGCTGTCTGATTACGTAGGAGGTCCCAATGCACCACTCAAGTGGGTCTGCACTGGAGAGAACGCCCTCAGCGATAAGGTGCAGTACACCAGGAGAGTCCAGGGCTGTCTGGCGCCGCTGCTCGGACTTCGGACTTCTGCACAAGTCATATGGACCAGCATATACACTATAAGCTGGATGTCGTTGAGAGCCACCAAAGTACCCTCAGCCCCCCTCCCGACAAGACAAACAATAATTGACTATCCGCGTTCAACGGTATCTTTATAAGTTACAGATGGGAAAGCATACTATGAAAGGCAGTTGTTATCTGCAGGTTGCCATGAGTCAAATGGCATACATACATAGTCCATGCATGCATGCATGTACGGGGACCGAAATAAGGTGTTTTCGGTGTTTTCCGCTCAGCGAATTATGTTCACGGAGAGGGAGGGAAGTAGTAGGATTATGCCCGATGGCAGGCTGACTGCGATCCTCCGGAAAAGACCAGACAGGTCAAACCCTCCCTTGTCTCACCAAGAGGAGAGCCCCTTTCTCTTCAGACGATGCAACCACATAATCAAAGGTGGGTAATGTATGGTCAAGGATAGATGCGATCGACAGTGGCCTGAATGTAATATATGTCCTGTACGTTCTCGCACTGGACGCCTAACCATCATTGCTACATAGGTCGGCGCCATGATGGCTGCAGCATTCTTGCTATTGATTACTAGGTACCTAGTTATCATTATTGCATTGTTCAGATCTAGCCAAGCAGGGTCCCCAGGACTCGAGGTAACACAGAATGTGGTCAGTGCTTAGGTGTAGCTTTGTACTACATGTCATCGGGCCAGTAAGGTGCAGCCAATGAATGTTCATACTACCGGGGAGTCTGGAACCCTACCAGGTGCAGTACCTGGTTCCCCAGAAGGTAAGGTAAGGTAGTGGCTGCCAGGATCTATTCGGATTCGGCCTCACCTTGATGAATAAGGATGTCGTCTAAGGTACCAAAAATGGGTGCAGTATATGTATGGAGGGGCCGGGGTGGAATGGCTGTCAGGCCATCATTTCACTCTTCAGTGTGTGACTGTGTCAGGCATGCATAAATTGATGCGACAAGGGGAGACCACCTGACCGGTTGAGGATTGAGTTAGAGCCGACTCCGTACTAGTTGATTACTTGGTATACAACTAACCCAGGAACAGCCTTGAACCGGTGCACATTGCCTTAACTAGGGGCGGTTGCTCCAGCCTAGTTGCCTCTCCAGTCACCATCATCATCATTATCATCATCATCATCATCATCATCACTTTCACCACTGCACTACGGTCACCTCCTCTTCCTGATGTATCAACGTCGTCACACTTGCCATGAAAATGTCTCCGCAGATGCTTACGCGAACAATCCCCCCAAAGTGGTCTAGGAATAGGAGGGCGTCTGGTTGTTTCACTCCACTCCCAGGTTCCTCTGGCAGCAAGCCGGATCTAATCAGCCGTCCCAAAGCCGCGACTAGATCACTGGGTGGGAATAAAACCATCTTTTGATTCAGCGGATCCAGAGAACACGATGCTAGCGACGTGACTGCCATTGCAGGGCAACCGCGAAATGGGGACGGGCGCAGAAACAAAAGAGGCAAAAAGAAAAAAAAGAGAAACGCATTCAAGTGGAAAACACATCCACATTGACAGATCACTATTTAAGGATCGGCCGTAAATCGCACCAGACCCGACGCACCGTGACCCGACTACAGTCAATGATAGTCGCCGCGGTCCCACCAATGTATTACCCAAACAGGCAACCAAAGTCACAGGGAAACTGGAACAGGAGACCATTCCTTCACTAGCACTGCATTATTGTTCTTGTTGTTGTTTCTTGTTCATTTAGCTGCTGTTTTGCTGCTTAAAATCCTGGCTGCATTGTCACGGCAGATCGAAGTGGGGAATCGAACTTACTCTGCTGCGTCTCGTTCCCCGTTTGCCGCAGCGAAATTTTTGCGTTCTACTAAGCTCCTGTACTCCCGTACACCGCAGAACGAGGGGGGAATTAGCTGAGGTTTAATTTCCTTTTTCGCCTGAATTTTGCCTCCCCCATCACCCCCATTTCCTCCCCGTCAGCGCCCATCACCCAGACTCTCGGACCCTCATTTGCGAGAATTTATTCTCCATCGGCATACAACGGGGTTCGATAGCATGGACTCTATGATCATGCTCCACTTCCTCTGAGCGACTAACGACCAATAGTGACTGTCTATTTGTAGGTAAGATGTCTGACCGTTGTGGTGGACCAGCCTAGTGTGTTCCATTGAGCAAATAATGCGCCAGCCCATCCACCACCATCTTGTCAAGCTGGGGAGGGGCAAGCCCACTCTATCACCAAGCCAGCCAGTCTTGCCATGGGATCTGTAAGTTATCTCAGGCTAGTTCGGGGAGGGGCTTTGGATGGTTACCTTGTACGGATAGTCGGCTCGCTCGTCAACAACCAGAGGGACACTTGGTCTGGCGGTAAAGCCCAATAACCCTACCGGAAGCGGTAAAGTGTTTGGCGATAGATGTCTCTCAATCCTTTCTCTCTCTCTACGCTTAGTCCGGCCCGGAGTCATGCGCTGCATTGGAGATTTCCTCAAGTCTTGGGTTTCAGACTCGCTCTCGCGTCTCTGGCAGGCCTTTTGCTCACACCGCACGCAGTCTGTTCCACCTCCGAGGTCCATGTCACTCATTCACCTCCACTTCGACTCGGATTAACCTTTGGCGTGGGCTGTGTTTTTCGAGGCTTTAACCGATTTTTTACTACTTCTCTCCTTTTCCCTCTGGTGTGCCGGTCGTCTCCTTCTTCCAATCTAGGACAGGCCAGTCGACTGACTGGGTCTGGAGGATCTTTCGAAGCAGTCCATCATCGTATGGGCAACCGTATTCCATCGGCGACTGGACTGGAGTTCGGAAAGCCACATGGCTGACTATGCGTCCCGCTTCCAACAAGTGGTCCACTCGTCTGGGACTCTTGCTGATTGATTGATCGATTGATCGTTTCGCTGCCGCCGCTTCTGGGGTCGGGGAGAAACGATCATCAAGCAAGCGACTGGCGGTTCCAGCCTAAAAGAAAAGAAACATGGAACGAGACACGTCCGAGAGAGGGACCGACGAGGATTCATCACCTCCTCACTCCCTGATTTAATCCTGGTCCTTGTGTTTTGTCCCCATGGACGGATCCGGCTGTAAAGAGTGGGAGGATCAGAAGAAGAAAAAAACAAGTTTTGCTAAGGTCTTGTCGGTTCGATAAGTTGGTAGATTAAAGGTCAACACCCTGGTAATCCTCCATCTCTCTCTCATCTGTAAAGTGTAACTAAACGGATGAGGGGCAAATGAAATCACACGGGAGCCGCGGGAGTCTCAAGCAAAAGCAGCAAAGCCGCAGAGCCAAAGTAAAGCAATTGAAGTAAACTTAGTCTAGTCCTAGTGATTATTTTAGGGCAGTGGATCCCGGATTATTCGGTGGCTGGCAACATGGCACGTTGTCGGTGGTGATGATCGCTCCAACACTATTCTCTTTTCACTTCGGTAAATTGTTTTTGAATTTGTTCTTTTTTTTTTCTTCCTTTTTCCAACATTGGATTGAGAGATGAAGTCTGTCTATAGTATGGGTAAAAAGGAGGAGTGGCTGACCGTGGCTTTGGACCGCTCCGCCCAGGGCTAGATCTTGAACCTAAGTCTGTTGAGGGAGTTTATTGAACCTCTCTAAGTTATCCTATAGGCAGAAAGGCTCAAGGATGTTCGTAGCTCGTTTCTTGTTGGTGCAGTGTTCTTCTCATGACGACTTCCCAGGTTCCAGCTCATTCCTGGGAGCCCCCGAGGGAGCCCCGGGCAACGCTCGGTGGGTTGTTCTGGACTAGGCCATGTGCCGTGTGCTTGAATCTAATGGCTTACAATGCACGGAGTAGGTGCATTGGGAGGGAAGGAAGACGTTGCAACAGACGATCGATCAATCAATTTCTATTTTTCATGTCTTGTCTCGGTGTCAGGCTGTGGCTGGAATCCGTTCGGCTCCCTGCAGATCCCATGGTGATACGGATGATGACACAACTCAGACACTGCCTAACAACTGTACGGAGTACGGAGTACTCAAGCAACTTGCCCTATACGTCAAGAACTCAGTATCTGAGAATAATGCAGATGGTTATCGACCGTCATCCGGAAGAGACAATGGAAGGAAAGGGAGGGGACGAGTGGACCCATGCTGTGAACGGACTGCATTGATCACCATGTGGTTCAAGTGGCAACTTCTTCCTATCTTCGCATCCTTCCATCCATCTCCTCCTTTTCCCATGGGGGGACATACATACATATCCACCTTGGATTGTTGACCAACAACCGAATTCTCTCTCTCTCTCTATCCATCTTGGATCCAGCACTGCCCGCCCGCCTGCCTTGCCCATCCGTTCCCGATTTCCCGCCTGTGTTCGAGAAACCACCGAACGGATTTCTTTTTAGGCATCACCATAAACTCTGTAGTCTGTCCGTCTGTCCCCCCTTCGGAGAGCGGAGCAATCGATTCCCCATCAACGTGAGACAGTATGCGCGTCTCTGGCATTACGTGGACAGTTTTTTTCTTGTTATCCATACGTGTATGCGTAGGTGGATATCGGTGTATGTGTGTGTGTGTGTGTGTGTAAATGCCGAAATCCTATCGACGATAGCCTCGTGTTCTAATTATAACGGGCGGTTCGCACCAAGTTCGTTGGTTCCCCCATCCAGCTGCCGAGGAGTATGCGATTATCTTGACCACTGGTAAACAATTGCTTTGGCCAGCCAGTCAACCCCGGGTACATTGCCCCCGGTTCATGGGTAAGTGGCGCTGTAGTTGTGATTGTGTACTCTGCTATCTCGCCTGGTCACGCAGTAGGAGGGAGCAAGGTCTCCCTCTCTCTCGCGCGCGCTTTCTGATGTGTAACGTGAGATGCCGGCAAAGCTTGCTGGGTTGAGCTTTGAGGATTTCAGAGGCTTAATGGCCCTTATGCTGCAGGGTCCTGCTGGGGTAAATAAAAGGGAGGTTTGTTTGTTGTCTCGGGTGGTGTTTTGAGGCCTTTTGTGCGAGTACTATGTACTATGTAGAATGGTTGGCTTGTTTGTTGGTCCTTGGCCATGTATCCTGCAAGGATACATTGATAACTGCCCGGGTGTGCCATTCATAGTTACACTTTCTGGTGATAATGCTTGTAGCCGGGGTCATGGTTGATGTGTAGATGCTGAGGACTTGATTGTGTTATTGGTATTCGAGCTTGTAATTTGGAAGGTTCAAGTTGTGGTTGAACATTGATTGTTGGTGTAGGACAATCGATGCACATACCCCAACCCGGTGCGGAGCTACCCGGTGTCAGAAAATATATATCGGTCAACCAGAGAAATGCTCAGCACGGACTCAGAGGGTTGGCATGAACACACCAGACACTCCAACAAACATCCATGTCTTCCCCGAGTCCATCACAGATACTCTACATAGCGCTAGACTACAGTTCATCACCACAATAACCACGACTACCCAGCATAAACCATGTTTCGGTCGCGTAGTAGTCAAGTTTGCCGGAACGGTGCAACGACGTCATAACCCGCAGCTACTCCGATTCCGATCGCGACCTTCGACTTCGACGTCAGTCGATTCCCAATATTGACAGGCCCTCCAGTCTCAAACACCCAACAGGCCGTTTGAGTCTCACGAAAAGGCCTTTTGAACCGCGTCGATGGATCTAAGTCCGAAGCAAGGTGGTGCTGTACGTTCTTCAATTGCTGGACACGCCACAGGGGAACTGATTTGAATGCAGGATGGAGGGGTAGATGGCGAGATGGACGACCCGAATCAGCTGGAGGTATTGTTTCCTCCCATCTCAACCAACATAAAGCAATGGAGCGAATAGAGCTGACTGCATCTGATCAAAAATGCCAGGTTGTACTATACCCCGAGTCCAGCCATCGCCGCAAGTCGTCACTGGTCATGGCGGACGACCCCAACACCCGCCCCAACCTCTCGTTCCCAGATGAAACCACGGCATGCTTCGTCCATTCCCTGATCGCGGGCGAATGGGGGGACCCGACCAACCGGATCAAGGAGGTCAAGGGCTACACGGCCAAGGACAACGAGGCGTTGAACGAGGAGGGCGCGACCGCCGACGAGGACGACAGCGAGAACGACATGACGGTGGCCGAGAAGGCCATGATGCAGTCGCGCCACCTGACCAAGAAGCAGCTCTCGGACATGGCGTGGAACGTGCGCAAGCTGTCGAAGAAGCTGGACAGCGTCAAGCTCCGGCTCACGGTCAAGACCGTGTTCCTGGTGACCAAGGCCGGCGACCAGTCGGTCATCGGCTCGACGCGGGAGGTCGCCCGCTGGCTCCTGTCCCGGGAGCGCGACACGCCGTACACCGTCTACGTGGAGAAGCGCCTGGAGTCGGACCCGGAGTTCGGCGCGGCGCAGCTGCTCCACGACGAGCCCTCGGCGAGGCATCGCCTCAAGTACTGGGACCACGACCTGGCCGCGGAGCGCGCGCACCTGTTCGACTTCGTCATCACGCTGGGCGGCGACGGCACGGTGCTCTTCACCAGCTGGCTGTTCCAGCACGTCGTGCCCCCCGTGCTGTCCTTCTCGCTGGGGTCGTTGGGCTTCCTGACCAAGTTCGACTTCAACGACTACCAGAACACCCTGACCACCGCCTTCAAGGAGGGCGTCGTGGTCAACCTGCGGCTGCGATTCGAATGCACGATCATGCGCAGTAACCCGCTACCGGACGGCTCGCCGGCGAACGCCAGGAAGCGGGATCTTGTGGAAGAGTTGATCGGGGAGGAGGCCGAGGATACGCTGACCCATAGGCCGGACAAGGTCTTGCAAATATTGAACGATGTTGTCCTGGATAGGGGGCCCAATGCGAGTATGTTCCAATGCGATTCTGATGGCTACTACCGTGATCACCTGCTGACGGGGCTGTTGGCTAGCAATGTCCTCGATTGAGCTATTTGGCGACGACGAGCACTTCACCACCCTCCTTGCCGATGGCGTCTGTATAGCTACGCCCACCGGGTCAACTGCGTACAACCTCGCAGCGGGGGGCTCTCTATCGCACCCGGATAACCCGGTCATACTGGTGACCGCAATCTGCGCGCACACACTATCGTTTCGACCTATTATACTACCAGATACCATCGTCCTTCGTATGGGCGTGCCGTACGATGCCAGAGCTAGTTCGTGGGCCAGTTTCGATGGCAGAGAAAGGTGTGTCCTGCAGGCGAGTGCGACGGCTACCGGGCCCACCGACTAACTTTTGAATATAGGATTGAATTACATCCAGGAGACTACGTGACCGTATCGGCATCACGGTACCCATTTGCCAATGTCCTGCCCAAGGGCCGACGAGGTGATGACTGGGTGCACACGATCTCGAAGACATTAAATTGGAACTCGAGACAGAGGCAGAAATCGCTGGACCCACCACATGAAGAGAAGGGTGGTAAATAAGCAGCGGCCGTGAGGCTTAACCCAGAAATCCAGTGCTGAACGCATGAACAAAGATTATCTACTACGTACGGAGTACTCGACAACATATGGGATTTTACTTTTGTGGGGCGTTCCGCTACGATACATATGGAAGAAACTCGAAAAGGACACTGTATAGACAAATCCTATCGGTCCTAGATCATTATCTCATGTTGATGACAACAAAAAGCCGGTCGGTAGAATTTCTATGAATAATGGTAAACGACTCGAACGTTCTTTTTCCTGGGCTGTGGAGTGCTGCGGTGAAGTTTTTTTCTCTCGTCTATCTAGTGTATGGGTCGGAAGGGTTACCGGGGCAGCCTAAGGCTGTGAGGCTGACTATAAAAACCCCCTTCCCGCCCCAAAAATCTTTTCTTCTTCATGCACCTCATCATCCTCAACATCCTCCTGTTGAGCCCGGCACACACCATGCCCCCCACTGCATTCCTTTGGAATTTTATGTGATTTCACTTGGAACATGCAACAGCTGGAGGGTATTCGAATGTTCCTCGGATTCTGCATCATTCTTGACCTGTTTCCGCTGCGCAAGTCAATGAATGATGCGACTAACTCAATGGTAAGCTACCATTATTCCTTTTTTCTATCTGCTTCATGACCAACGGCCCTTTCCCCCCGGGCTCTTATGATGAAAACTTTTCCTACATTCGCAGTTTCCACGCTAGCCGTCGCCATGAACCCATCATATAGACGTGCTCTGTGCGCAATACTTCCTTGGATGTCTGACTTGTTTGGTCATATTGGATATTGAATTATTTCATGTGCCATTTTCACGAGCATATGCTAATTTGCTCTGCCGTTTTAGGTTCCAGTTTAGTTTTCGCAGTCTCTGACGGTGTCATTCATCGGAGAAGAGAAATCAATGAAAATTCTGTATATTTATCTGAAAGATTTTTTGGATCGATTCTCATTGCTGTAGATTGTAGATTGTAATTTGTAGTTTGGCTCTTGTCTCGTAATGGCTGTGGCTGCGTCGGGCTTCAATAGTAAGCAAGCAGTGACACCGGAATGAGAGGTTTTCATTCTCTGGGGGCCATCTCCGGAGCTTCGAAGCCAGCCGACTGGATGAAGCTATCCCCCGAACTGCGTCCCGAGCATCTGCACCTCCCCGTAAGGCCACTCCATCCATTCCAAGCACAAGCACAAGCACAAGTACAATCACAATCACCAAACCACTCACACCCATACACCCTCCCAATCCACACCTCCAAACGACCACTACACCACCAGCATGAGACATTGAACCCGATCCTCTCGACAGAGACCTCCAGCCTGTCGATAATTCCTTTTCCGCAGGAACTGAACAAACCACCCTGCCACCCTAGTCCCATCCCCTCCGACAATCCACAGACAACACCACACAAAGACACAATCACAATGGCCCAACAACCCCCGCGCCACGCCGCCATGCTCTCCCTGAGCAACAGCACCTCCAATTTCTCCTCCACGACGACCACCAGCACCGAACGACCCCTCCAATCCCAAACCCACACACACCTGCCGACGCCCTCACAATCCAGCACGGGCCTGCGCGTCCCCTCCAACCGGAAAACCATCTACGACCGCCATCTCAACCGCAGCCGGAATGCGGAACTCAGCCGGGCGAGCTTCGCCTTCCTGTTCGGCGAGATGGTCACCTACGCTCAGCGCCGGGTCACGGGGATCCAGGATCTGGAGAGACGGTGAGTTGCGTCGCACTTCCCCTGTCCCCGCCGTCTTGGTGTCAGGTATATGCATATTGCATATAGACACTACGCACATACATACGGCGAGGAACATCCCCCCTCAGACGCACACGCTGATTTGATGCGGGGAGACAGACTCAACGAACAAGGCTACCCGCTCGGCCTCCGGCTGCTGGACCTCCTCTTCTACCGCACGGTGTCCGGGTCGAGCTCCTCGTCGGCGCTGTCGAGCAGCTCCTCCACCTCGGCCTCGCCGCCCAACCGGCCGCTCCGCATCCTGCCCCTGTTGCACCTCATCCACGGGCCCCTGTGGCGGCTGCTGTTCACCCGCCCCGCCGACGCCCTCGAGCACTCCGTCTCCCCCGAGACCCCCAACGAGTACATGATCACCGACAACGACCCGCTGGTCAACACCTACATCAGCGTGCCCAAGGAGATGAGCATGCTCAACTGCGCCGCCTTCGTCGCCGGCATCATCGAGGGCGTCTGCGACGGCTGCGGCTTCGAGGCCAAGGTCACCGCCCACAACCAGCCCACGGAGATGTGGCCCAGTCGGACGATATTCCTGCTGCGGTTTGGGGAGAGCGTGATGGAGCGGGAGAAGGTCTTGGACCGGGCGGGTGTGAAATAGTTTGCGTTTCTGCAGGAAGGGGGCAGCCAGTGAGTGGGGCCTGTACGGTTGATCGATGATGGCTCACAGCTTATGGACTACTTGCTGGGATGCGGATGTTGTTGCGGTGGTGGGGATTTTGGGGCATATCGGGTTCACGTCTACGCTCTGGTATTGATGGCTGGGCTGTGTGATACGCTAGAAGCGGATTTGATCTAGATGTAGCCGTCGGTGTTGCGGCGCGATGCTCCTTAGGCGAGGCAATGACGAGGTGCACCGAGTGTACATCCAGTAAAATGTCCTTCACTTGGTTGTGCACCCCGTCGAGGTATGATACGTGCCGCCATGCTGAGGAACCTTATATAATACAAGAGGGGAAAGAAACGTCGATTTCCCACATGCAAAGCCCCCTCCCCCAATCAGTGCTCTCAAATACCCAAGAACGCCAATAAAATTAGAAATAGCATGTTCATTGCAAGCTGAACCTCCGGCTAGTCCGATCTCGCATCCTCTGTTCGTCTCCGTTTCTCCCGATCGTCGTATGGCGAGGGACTGCGCTTCCTGCGACTGCCTCCATCCGGCCTGTAGCGGTCTGCCGAGCGATCGCGGCTCCGTCGCCGCTCTCTCCGGTCCCCATAGCGGTCTCTGCGAGGAGAGTAAGACCTCGACCTGGATCGCCGCCTCTCGCGCACGACCGAGGCATTGGCGCCCGTGGGACCCCTGGGCCGCTCGTCCGGCATGAACCTCTCATCAGTAACCCCGAGCGGCGCATCCTCCCTCCTCCGCTGCCCGCCGCCAAACCGGCTGCTGACCCCATCGCCAAAACGACCCGTGTCCTCCGACCGCAGATCCTTGTATCGGGTGCGGCCTTTCTTGCCCAGCTTCGTCATATCGCGGATCTGCATGTACTCGGGCAGGGTCTCGCGGGCGACGTCGTCGACGAAGCGGGCGCCCATGGCATTGCGCTGGTCGAGCCCCTCGCGCTCGACGTCGTCGCGGAAGAAGGCGCCCTTGTGGAAGTAGCGCTGCAGGTAGCCGGCCTGGCCGCGCGCGGCCTCCTTCTCCTGCTTCTGGCGGGCCAGGAAGGCGCGGTCCTCGCGCTCGCGCTCCTCGGCCGTCAGCTCGCGGCGCCGCTCGATCTCCTCGCGCTCCTTCTCGGCGGCCTCGATCGTCTCGCGCTCGCGCTTCAAGCGCCTCAGCTCGCGCAGCTTCCACGCCGCGTACTCGGCCGCCGGGTCCTTGCCGTCCGTGTCGTCGATCGCCTCCTCCTCCGCGACCTCCAGCTCGTCGTCGTCCCACGCCCGGTTCGCGGCGCTGCGCGCGATCGCCTCCTTCTCGAGTTGCTCGCGCACCAGCGCGTCCGCTTTCTCCTGCCGCTGGGCGCGGCGGGCCTCCGCGTCCGCGGCCGAGTCGGCGTGATGGTCGGGTCGGGTTTGGGTTTCGGGAGTGGCGGCGGCGTTGGCGGTGCGCTGGTTCTTTTTGATGAACGTCGGCCGCAGGAGGACTCGGCGCGGGGTTTCTTCTTCTGACGAACTTTCCTCTTCGGATTCTGATTCTGATTCCTCCTCCTCTGATTCTTCCTCCACCTGCGCCCCCTTCGCTACACCCCCTCTCGAAACAGAAACAGAACCAGAACCAGCAGTAGAACTCGAAACCCCAGCTCTAGCTCCATCGCCAGCAACAGAGCCCCCCACTTTCCTTTCTGCATCCTCCTCCTCCTCCGTAACAAACCCCTCCTCATCCTCCTCAGCTTCCGCTTCCTCAAACCTCACCCCCTTCACCCCAGCCGCCCCAGCGGGAAAAGAACTAGCCTTGGGTGGGGGTTTAGCCAACGCCGCCGCCCTCCGGCGCTGCTCCTCGCGACGACGGCGCTCTTCCTGCTCTTTTTGACGCTGTTCCTCCTCATCTTCTTCCTCGTCCTCGTCGTCGGACGAAGGCTCTTCGGCGATCGGCTTGCCGGGGCGGTAGCGGCTCGGTCGTTGGGGGTTGGCGGTCATGCCGCGGTGGTGGGAGGGGAGGGGGGGTGGCATGTTTGCCTTCAGCTTGGGCCTTGGGCCTTGGGCCTTGGCTCTTCTGGGTGTGTGGTGTGTAGTGTGTGGTGTGTGGTGTGGGTGGCTGATCCTGTGATTGGGGTTGGAGGAGGTGTAGCCGCTGGTAAATAAGGGATCCTGTAATGCGAAGCTGGAGTATAGGTAAGTAGTGGAGTGTCAAGCCCAGCCAGTAACTTAAGTTAACTTTACCCGGGAAAGCTGCTTTTCCAGGTGCAGCGCCGGCAGTAGCCTTACATCCTAAGGCACCGAGGCAGCAGCCACAAGTTACCCCAAGCCGAACCAGGTTTTCTTTCCGAGCGGCGGCGGTGGTAGATCACGTGCCTTCGCGTCACGCGCGGCGCGACGGCGATAAGTCCATCACTCCATCACTAACCACCACCACCACCACCAACCAACCAACGAACTATAACCTCATCCCAGTCCAACACATTACCTATTACACCTCACACCGCCCCCCCTCCGATACATACAATACAACACCTCCAACACCCCCCTCTACTCCATCATCTACCGAACCCTGAAAAGATGTCCCTCCAAACCCCCCGCGTCCTCCCCGCCCACCTGCACGCCTTCCACCCCTCCTCCTCGACCACCAGCAAACACACCGTCCGCATCCTGGGCACCGTCTCCGCCCTGCGCGGCGACACCGCCACCCTCACCTGCGGCGGCTCGGGGGACGTCACGATCATCCTGAAGCCCGACTCGCATCTGCAGATGGGGAAGTTGGTTGAGGTGATTGGGAAGGTGACGGATTTGAATGAGGGGGTGCGTTGTTTTCTGGCCCCTAGGGGCTGAGGTCATGGCCCCTGGAACTGAGGTGGACGATGCTGACAAATTGTCTCTGGTGTAGGGCGTTGGGATCCGATTGCTCGGCGTGACGGATCTGGGGGATCCGGCGGATTGTGGTAGGTTTCTCGCCCCCTGTTTCTGCAGTGCTGGGCGAAGGGCTGGCGTGGGCTGATTCGGTTGTAGATTACAAGATCTATGAGCAGGTGGTCAACGCCACGCATAAGCTGAAGTCGATTTTCTATGATTCGAATGAGTGAAGTGAGGTGGAGAGGTGGTAATGAGGTTGAGGTTGAGGTTGAGGTCGAGTGATATACCCCTGTTGCGGTCGGAGGATTGGAGGGAGAGTGCATGTTGTTGTTCTTGTTGTTTCAATATTTGTTGTTCCAATAAATAAAATGGTGTTAATCGTCTGTTCGGGGTTGAACCTTGAAGGACAGAGAGTAGGTGTAAGCCTGGTCGGGTCGGACGTGAGATCTACGGAGTACAGACCAAGAAGTCAATCAAGCTAGACAAGCACATCCAATTCTACACGCCGATAAGTAGAAGGCTCAATTGATTATTTCATTGTTGTGGCCGAAACCTGGTATCTACTGTGGTATCTTAATCCTATTCTATCCTATCCCAATCCTCCCATCCCTCCCATTGAATAGCAAATACAAAACAAGGATCCGTTCAGGAACAAACCCACAAAACAAAGCCAAACAATGCACTCGATCATATGCATCCACCAAACGCCATCGCTAAACACATCACAAAAAGGAATTCGAACGAATGTCGCGCGTCTCGTCAAATAAAGTAAAGAAAATCATTACACATCATTGGCAGTCGGCTGCGCCTCGTGCCCAGTGCCGGACTCCGCAGCCTTGTCTTTAACACCCAGTGCCGGCACTGTCTCAGAATTACTGGCTTCAGAGCTGAAGAATCCGGAATCGAGCACGTTCGTTTCGACATAATTGAAGATATCAAATTGGTTGGCCTTCTGGAGCTCCGGGTCAGCCATGAGTGCGTTGAGCAGATCCCGCGGATCTTCCCCACTCGCCCCCGAGTCTCCGTTGGCCGCCTCGCCCTCAGATCCAGTGGGAGAAACATAATCGGACGGAATCCAGTCAGGCCAGCTGTTGCCCGCAGCACACTTGTCGATTCCGAACAGTGCGTCCGTGGCTGCGGCCGAAGGCGCGTCGGAGAAGATGTCAACGATCATGTTGTCCATCCCCTCAAAACCGCCGAAAGCGTTGACAGGCAGCTGGAGGTCACTCAGCGTCGATCGAGCCTGCTTCGGGGTCTTGTGCTGACGCGGCATGGGGCCAGGGCTGCTCTGGATCCGCTGAAGTTTTTGCGCAGTGAGTCTGGTAGGGGACGTATCCGCAGCGACTCCTCTCCGTGCCTTTGCTAAAGGGGAGATGCACGGCAGGGAAAGGCGCTTCTCGCTCAACAGACCCGACCGCTGATTGCGTCGCCGAGGGGTCGGGCTCGCGGGCACGTCGAATCCGAAACTCGGGCTCTCAAAGAGTGCGTCCAGATTAGTCGCAGTCTGGTTCTCTTTGTCGTCAGCCGGCTTTTCGGCCGCCCGAGAACTGCGGGGGCTGCGGCGTGGGCTGTTGACGCTTGAGTCACCCAGTGCTCTCAACGGTCCACCTTCATTGTGGGAGTTAGGAAAAAGCACTCTTCTCACTGACTTGGGAGTAAGAGCATTCTCGTCCGCCGCCGGAGCATTGCGCCCCACCACGTTTCTCGCAGGGCTAGACTGAATCGCGTTGCGGAGAGCAGCCACCGGGTCTTGCTCCTGCCAGCGACTGGCCGCTGTGTCGTTCGACTTGCGCGGCTCCAGGCTGTTAGCACGGCGCCGCTTGGCGGGCTGCTCCTGGGCTCCGTCACGATCCTGCTCGTTGTTGTTCTCAGCCTCGTTGCTGTCATTATCACCACGGGGAGTGGCATCGTCCACCGCGGGAGAAGAGGCATCGGACGCCCCAGGAGACGATTCGTCCGCTTTGGAGGACTCGGCCCTGGCACGGTGTCTCGTTGCAGGGTTGTTGTTGGTCGAGAGCGGGCCGCCTCCCTTGCGGTTTCTTGGGGGACGCTTTCTCTTGTTGCTGGCGGTCTTGTTCCATTTATTTTCCGGGCGCATGCACTTGAACTTGTGGAGCCAAAGACCACAGGCTTTCCTGAATGTTAGTACAGACGAGGCAGAAGGGAAGCAGGTATTACTTACGGTTGCAAAGAAGGACCTGAACAAAGTCGTTGTCGGTGTCGGCTAGGCTCTTCTTGTAGACCTTGAATTTGATGACCTTCTCTTGATCGTCACGTTCAACAGCCTGCCAAAACAACATGGTGGGATCCTCCGTGAGTTTATTAGCGTCGTCTTCGTTGCCTTCGAACTCTTTCGACCACGCTCTGCGCCAGGTGGGGGTTTCAATGGCACCGCAGTTTTCGCAGTAAGGTGGGACCTGACCGTCGCGAATGCACCGATCGAGGCGTGCCTGAACCTGCCGCAACCGGCGAGCGCCCGTGCCGCTGCGGATTTTGCCATCCTCGAGTACAGGCTGCGGGGCCGGGGTCTCAGCACCATTGTAGTCGCTCATCGGTCCGGTCCAGGCCTGGGAGCTGTGCGTGTTGACATGAGAAGGAAGGATTGGATCGCTGGCGGGAATGGTACTGATCAGCTGCTCGAGTTCGCTCTGCGACATGGGTGCAGGTGCAAGTGGCTTGGGAGCCTGTCTCATGCTAGCCCGAGAAGATGGCCTCGAGCCGGCGTTGCTGGCTGGTGCGCGGATTGGAGCGGATGTTCTTTCTTTCCCAGTTTGGTCAGGAGCGTCGCTGGCTGGGAAGTTCTCCATGTTGGTGGGCGCAGTGATCGGCGAGCTGGCATGTGCAGCAGGACGGACAATCCGCTTCTCTCTGCCTGCGCCAGTTGAATCGTCCAGAGGGGTGCCGATTTCTTCATCCAGCAGCTCATCCATACCACCACTCATGAAGCCCGAGTCGGCCATGGGCGGAAGGACCGGGCTGGAGCGGCCTGGGAACCCGCAGTCGAGAACGGGAGGCGACGACGGCATACTGAACGAAGGCTCGAAGAGGCCCTGGTAACGCGACTCAGGGGACTGGTTATCGCCGGCGGGGTGATCATCGCTCATGGGATACGGAGAGGTGTAGGGAGTGTGAAGGGATGACTCGCGGAGCAAGCTGGGAGGAGGACGTGCGCGACGAGTAATTTCATGCGAGTTAGAGATTGGGGTAGGCGGGCGAACAGGCTCCTCATTCGAGTTCTGAGCAGCAGCAATAGCGGGGTTGACCGGAGTAGGACGATGAATGCGGACAGAGGCTGCGGTGCTGGCGGCGACCCGCAGAGAGCTGGGTTGTCTCTCAATATTCAAGTCGGACTTTCCAGGCCACTCTGCCCGATACAGTTTGGCCCGTTTGCGGGGTTGTTGTTCCGAAGACTCGTCGCCGCTGCCGTAGCCTGATTGAATGGAGCCTCGACGACTGGGGGCGTATCTCGAGTGAGTGGGGAGATCCGAGTCACGCATCGAAGCGCTGGAGCCTGGCCGGATGGCATCGTTGTGTAGACGGTCTTGCTGGTGCTGAAGCTGTTGTGTATGCTCCTGTTGCTGCGCGGGGGAAGCCGAGCGTATCGACGCATTTCCAGCCATTGAGGGTAGCTCCCTTGGCGTCGACCCTTCGCTGAGCAATTGGTGGAACCTCTCAATTCCGGCGTGATCCACCGGTGATGCTATTGGGTCCGGCTGCTGCTCGCGGGGAGACACCAAACCCGGGTTCTGCCGCACAAAACTCGTCCAAGCCTGGGCGTCGAACTCGTGAGGAATGACGTTGCTCAATTCCCGGTACTTCTGCATGCTCTCGAGATAATCGCTCTGCAGGACGGTGGGGACCGGCACCAATCGCAATTTCACCTCCAATGTCTCCTGAGCACCCTTGGAGAATAGACCCAGAACGTTCTTGCACACTCGACCGGTAACCATTGTCTTTGACTGATGGGCGGGGGCGTTGGGGCTGGGAGAAGCCGACGCAAGCACCCACGACAGCATTCCCTGTCCGACCAGAGGCGTCTCATACTCGGAGTAATCGTAGGCGTACACGGTGTAGTCCTGTCCAAGCTTGGCAACCAGTTCCGGGCTGTGACGATGAAAATGAGTACAAAGACCAGGTATCCAGCTCCATCCTTAGCACTCACCTTGCCGAAACAATGGCCTGGATGCATGTTTTCAGCTCAATGACACCGATCTGCAGCTTCTCGTCGAGGGCGGCGGTCTGGATGTCGAGGAGATGGGGCCACCGGGCCAAGCAATTGGTCTTGCTGGACTCGTCAAACGTATAGAGCACCTTCACTAGAAAGGGTGATTTTGGTGAGGTCGTGATTGTGAGGGGTCGGGCAGCAATTGAAGGGCAGCAATTGAAGGAATAGACTTACGCCTCATAGGCCGGACGGAAATTCCGTCCTGGGATTCCATGCCACCAGTGCTAGCGGATTAACCATAAGCAGAAACAGGAAACCAGGAGTTGGTCTGAATGAATGGTTGGCGAGAACGAGATTGTTGTAGGCGGCACCGAGTCTAGTAAAAACGAAGGTCGAGTTGAACGAATTGACACTCGAGAGAACGAGCTTCAATGGTCGGTGTCGAAGTTGGAAGCAAGGAAGATTGATCGTGTGGGATTGACCACTCAGAACCGTCCGATAGGCGAGTGCGTCGACCGGGAGAATGCACTGGAATGTATGCACGGCAGGTCGCGGGGAAGGCCCTGAAGGAATGCTAACGCGGGACACTGAATCGTCAAAGGAGGGGAGGCCGTTAAATCTCGAGGCATGGGATGGAAGGTGAAAAGTTCGAAAAGGAGAGTTTTTGCAGGACACCGAAACCCCTTGGTTTATTTTTTTTTCTCTCTCCTCTGCTTCCTCTTCAACAGCTAGTTAATCTGCTGAGATAGGTTGAAGGGGAAGTGAGGTTGGAAAGGGAGAAGGAGAGAAAGGGTGGAAATGTGTGTGGAAAGCAGGGGAAGAAGAGCAGAACGCCTTGCATTTGAATGAAGTGGAGGGAGGAAGTGGAAGTGGGTGGTTTGAAGCTTGGACGATCCGCCCTCACGTCTAGAAGCGTGTCTGTCCGACGCGACGTGACGCAGCCAATCGCGACCTCGGGAATCACTAGCGGACAAACACGGCAAACACGCGTTTCACGTGACGTAAATTGACCGAACTTGGAAGCTGCGGCGGAACTCAGCGGGCTCCAGGAGCAATCCCAGTCTAACCCAGTTTAACCTGAAGAGACACTGAGAGTTGGAAGTTCGAGAGAAGCCCGTCAGTCGAGAGAAGCTGCCAACTCCCTGATACTTATACCTTTTCCCACCCCATCCCACCACTACCACCACCCACCATGTCGACCGATCCTAAGATCCAGTACGTCTACCCCTCTCTGGTTCTTCCTATCTTCCTATCCAGATGAGTCAGCTCTGGCTCATCTCATCCTTCCATAATATGAAATGAAATGAACCGCAACCGCGCAACTGGTCGGACCTCAGGCTAACCACTTTATTTTCCAATCCAACAGGGACCTGCTCAACAAGCCCAAGAGCGAGCTCACGTACGTTTGTTCCCTTCGTACTCTATCACCTTATTCAACTCAGCATTCTGAATCATCTTCTAATGCCCTGGGACCCTCTCAAATCCGCGTCGTCACATGATGACGACCACCGAGCCCCGACGCTCTGGTGTCGGCGACAAGATGATGCCACTTGAATGCTGCTGCCACTCATTGGGCATTGTCCCTACCCCGCGCCTATCTCCATCCTTACTTTCGTCATCACCATGCCCCATCACTACCTACATTGTCTACGCTCCGCCACCCCCATCCGCATCACACTAACTCAAACCCTCCATCCAGTGAATATGAGGTCTCTCTCGTCGAGGAACACGAGCTCACCGCGGGCCCCCTCTCGCTCCTCCAGACCGCCACGCGCACGCACACCCAGGTGCTGATCTCGTGCCGGAACAATCGCAAGCTGCTGGCGCGCGTCAAGGCCTTCGACCGCCACTGCAACATGGTCCTCGAGAACGTCAAGGAGATGTGGACGGAGAAGCCCAAGGGCGGCAAGGGCAAGGGTGTCAACAAGGACCGGTTCATCAGCAAGATGTATGTCCTCGCGCTTTTCCCCAGGAGTCGCCGACAAGACCCTTCGCCCTACTTCACCTCGTATCGTTACTAACAGTTTGACTCGTCCAGGTTCCTGCGTGGTGACTCCGTCATCCTCGTCCTGCTGAGCTGAACAAGCTTCTTTATCTCGCCATGTACCTTCCACGTGACATGCTCACCTAAATCTCGGCGTCCGGGGGAGGTCAAAAAGAAGTCGTGGCTCTTTTCTCTCAGGATTTTGATGATACAAATGCCCAAATGAAAGGGATGCAGTAGATTTGAGCATTTTTGTCTGACAACTGCCGTGGGGAAAATCGAAGTGGGCCATGACTTTCTCATTGATACCCTTGTGTTCGTGTGCGCTTTCTCGAAAGATGAAAAGAACTCCTCTCAGGGTCATACTGGGGTCCATGGGTGAGGGGAGGGGGGGTCCAGCCACCCTTCCTTCCCCCCCCAAAGCCGGAGATTTCTTGTTTATCAATGGACTGTCATTTGCCTGTCTGGCCCTCTCTTACATACTTTTTTCTATATCTTTGATCTGATGTCCTTTCTCTCCTTTGCTATTTCTCGTTGTGGCGCGACAGATATGGCGTTCTTCGGTACTTGTGTGGTTTTGGAAAAAAAAGTTAGAAAAAGGAATGAAAGAACGGTAAAGAGAAAGCTTTTCTTGATTCACCTTATTTGCTGGATCGGCAGTTAGACGGTCAGGATGGGAGAGTGGGTGGACTGATTCTATCAGCCTGATTGAGCCCGTTGCTGAGATGCTAGCTAGCTATGTAGGTGCCTCTTCGGCATAGAAACCATACCAGAAATACCTTCGTTACCATGGGAAAAGTTCTCGCTCCAACTCAAAATGAAATCGGCTTATAGGGTCTAGAGCGCCTAGTCCGTAGCTGGTCCGACTATTTCGAGCGGTTCGTTACCTTTCACTCGATGCCTACTACGAAAACAGTAGATCATAGATCTATACCGAAGGCTACTTTGGTCGGATCTCTCAACCCTCACCCTCCCCCCTCTTAGTAGACAGCGTAACGGGGATGCAATCCCCGAAGTATGTGAGGTTTAGCAAAGGCCCTCAACACTTACTGTCACGCGAAGCCTAGCCGACAGAAACTGTTGTGTTTTCGTCCAGACGGCGGGATTAGACTACACTTATGGAACACCAACCTCGTAGCATGGTCATTATTGATATTAAGAATTAGAACATCGAACGCTCCAAAGTATATGTACGATGAAACCCAAGAATCCCTGGCCCAACCCTAGCAACTCGACTCAAAGGGCCTCCGCCAATCCATTTAAGAACTCGCTGAGCCCGTAAGCACCCGGGTCCGGGATCTTGCCCACCCACTCATCCTCGCCGCCGACGTACACGCTGCGTCCCAGGCTGGCCTTCATGTGCTTGGTGGAGTTGGTTCCCTCCTGCGCCGCCTTGGCCGCGGCGTGGACATCCTTGCTCTCCTGGAGGGTCTTGCAGAAGGGCACCAGGGCGTCGAGGAGGGTGCGGTCGCCCGGTTGCGCTGGGGTGTACTTCGAGAGCGCGGAGAGCGAATTATTCAATGCTGCGGCCCACACGTCCACCGTCGCCGGGGTGGCGGTGCCCTGGTCTTGTTCGCGGAGGCCGTGAGCGAGCGCATTCAGAAAGATGGCGTAGATGGCGCCAGAAGTGCCGTCCATCGTGTTCTCGACGACGCTGACGATGCGGTTGACGGCGTGGACCACGTCGTCGGTCAGGTTGGACGAGGAGCCCTCCAGGAGAGCCGTCACGGCCTCGGCGCCTCGCTTCAGGCCGACTCCGCAGTCGCCGTCGCCGACGATGGTGTCGAAGCGCGTGGTTTCGGGCTCGGAGGCAATGACGCGCTTAAGAGCGCTGCTGAGGACCTTCTTCAGGATGTTGATGTCCACTGTCGGGTGTTAGGGATGTTTAGGACGGTGCAGGGACTAGGGAATCTGCTGGGCTACTTACACTTCACGTTGCTGGGGTTGTCCTCCGGCAACGCAGTCCTCTTAATCTCCACAGGAGCGTCGGTGCGATGCTTCCATGTCTCCCGGCTGATGGGGGCCGACCAGCCGACAGCCTCCGCAGGCGCATCGAGGAGGTCTAGGAAGGACCGGCCAGGGCCCAGTCCCGTATCTACCAGCTTCAGCAGGGAGATGCTGAAGCCCAACCCGTTGAGGCTTGTGAGGAAGGTCCCTTGGATGACTCGGATCGGCTGGACGTCATAATCTCTGTCGAGTTGACGATAGACCTCGTCCGTGATGCCGGAAAGTTCCAATGTGCTGACGCCACCCAAGTTGTTGATTAACAACACAAAGTCATCCTCGGGCTTCCGGGTGACCCAGGCGCGGTCAGGATCATTGTGGTCCAGAAGCTGGAGAAGCATGTTGGCCACTAGCTCAACCAGATTCGCCTTCACCCGGTGGGATCCCGGCTCATTGTGAATGCCCATTCCGACCTCGACTTCGCCTTCCGGGATTGTGTCTTCGGGAACGCCCCGGCCAGGAACATGAACGTGCTCGAGCGAAGACCCTACCGACACGAGGTTATTGTTCGCTAGCTGTGCCAGGTGATACACCTCTTCCAGTGAGCCACTATGCTGAAGTTAGTTCCGCTGCGCACTAGTCTGTCTCATTGAAGGAGTAAAACTAACCCTGCTTCAGCCAAAGCACCGACGGCCTTGAGAATGAGAACACCACCGCCAATCCCACGACGACCGACCTTGCCGCCCTTCTTCTTGCCAACGCCGACATCGTCATTGATAGCAAAGAACTCAGTCTTGATGCCAGCAGCCCGCGACTTCTCCGTGGCCATACCGAAGTTGAGCACGTCGCCCGTGTAGTTCATGGGAATGATGAGCACACCCTGGTCGCTGTTGACGCATTCCATGACGGCTTTGCGAATCTGCTCCGCCGAGGGCGAAGCGAAGATAGTACCGGCCGCGGAAGCATCGAGGAAACCCTTCCCGACGAAGCCTGCAAACGCAGGCTCATGGCCCGAACCACCACCCGATATAATGGCGACCTTGGGCTTTGAATTCACATTGGGGCGACGGAAGATAATTTTGTTCTCAGGATCGAATGCTACCGATGGGTTTGTGAGGGTGAGGGAATGCAGAGCGGTCTGGACCAAATGGGTGGGATCCGAGAAGAAGTGTTTGGCTAAGGGCCGGCGTTAGTGGATGGAACAATCTAGTGTAGACTTTTTGAATGACCATGGAACAGGTTTCGGGCCTGCATGGGGGCTGCTAGCAAACCAGCCAGGCTACCGAATCTCCACAGGACTATGTAAGATCGTACGAGGGCGTGAAACCTACTTTGCATTTTGTGGAAGGTCTGATGGACGATCTCCGGTTAAGTATGACGTTAAGCTGCGTATGGAGACGAAATGTTTCGCGAGTGGAACCGGTCGATGTATGGAGTTTGTGGGGGTGGTTGAACCTGCGCACGGTCTTCTTGGTATATATAGCCTGTCTCGGGGACTCGCAACTCTTTGCAATGATCACTTGATGTCTTGCTTCCGAACCGAAAGTTTCACAAGATGGAGCGTCACGATTGTGCGGCAATACGACGACAGCGATCCTGGTCGAGGCGCAATGGTTGGGATCGGAACGCAAGCCGGATGAGGCGGGGAAGTGGGGGACCCGGTGCTTCTGGGTTTGGCAGCTGTCAGCCTGGGGAAAGAGAAACCATTGCGATGTTAAGGAGAATGGAGAAGGATCCTTGCTCAGCAGCACTCACCCGTCGCAATCACTTGACAAGAAGCGGGAAGGAAAAACAGTCGATGAATGGACAGTTCAGGGATCAATTGGTGGGCGATTGAGGACGGAGGATAACCTGGGCCAACGGAAGACACCAACCAAGTGACAATCACACGAGAATCAACCAAAAGAAAAGGGATTAGACCAGGAATAGGACCAAGGATGAGGGCGCAACAGCTGGGCTAAATACCAGTCGCGAAGAGAATGAGAACGAGCAACCCACGACTTCAACATGGCGTAAGAAGTGGTGGTATGAGGAGTAGGGGGAGTAGACGCAGTAACCTGTTTCCCCAATAGTTCGATTTGCCCACTCTGTCCATTCAATGTTCTCAATTGTCGTCCCCCTTCCGTGGACAATCAATTCTTTGCTGCTCACATGAACAAATGGTTTCGCATGACTTGACCTGTGTGTTCAATGGATCGTATGCTGGGGTTCTGGATCTGGCAATTGGGAGTTGATTTCCCCTTGAACCAGCCCCGCCAACCTTACCCCATGGGTCTGGAACCTTGACAAGCGCTTCGGCTTACCCTTTGCGGGAATTCCGCGGTCCTCCCGCTAATCTTGCCCGCGACATGCCTCCACAGTCGACCCGAGTCTGGATGCAGATTCTACAGAGTTGTTCGGACTTGCAGAGCAGCAAATGCGCAAGTCAGTGGAAGCATTAACATGTTGACTGTACAGTAAGTATCATGAGTACTGCACAGGAGATTCCATGACCGACTCAACAACCGGCTAATCGTAAGGCGAATCCATTTGGTGGCTTATTCCAATCGATGTCACCGGTGCGTAATCCTTCTGGTTTCGGAGGCATCTACTAAGTACTCCGAAACCGTATCTTGCAATGGCGTGGCAAGTTGATACAGGTTTGTTGTGCTCCAATCGTTCATTCGAGTCACAATGCATCGCAAAGCATATCAAGCTTGCCTAGCTATCTCAATCCAGCACTGCTCAGATAAATGAATATACGAGCTTCGTTATCCCATACCAGGGAGCCAAGTCAGGTTGTCCAACAAATATTTTCGAGATCCACAAACACATCAGATCCAGCACATAATTCTGCAACCTGTTGCCAGTTGAGACAATCTTGCTGACAACTGGTATGCATATGATCTTTACATTTACAAGTACTCATGTAGTAACCACATCAACATCCCAACATTTCAGCCCCTCCCCTGCAGGAGAAACCCGATCATGGGACTCTGAAAAAAATGGAAGGGCGGCAGAAGATTGATAGTTCCAAAGTTCCGCTGTCAGATCGATGCAGCGGCAATCCCAGGAATAGTGCGGGGGCGCGTACACCGTCCTAAATCGGACGATTCTTTCCTATTCAGTTCTGACCAACGCTCGGAAAGTGAGAATTATTGCATGTCCACCGTAACTCCGTAAGGTCGATGCATAAGAATCAGACCTTCCACGTGAACAATGAATTCTTTCCAGGTGAAAAAAGCATATCGGTAGCCTAGACCCTGTGCATTCAAGCGCCAGCTCCAGCTCATCCATCACTCGGAGGGGGTTCAACCTCCATCCCTGCCGGCAATTTCTGTTACCGCCTTCCGAGTTGCCATTTCCGGCCACTCGGCTCACCTGCCAGGCCAGGTGCTGTTCCATCCATCCATGATGGCTGATGCGATAGCTTATTGAAGCAGCGGTGCATGTATGCGACAACATATCTTACGGTATTTGAGCTGGAGGTTGTTGGCCGTCGACTCACCTGATCGGGATTTCTTTTCCTCCCGAGCTATTTTCGGTTTCCAATGTTGCCATGCTATAACACCCTCATACGCTCGCCGCAATATCTTGTTGAAGTTGTTGTTGTTCGCCGAAAAGCATGTCAGTCTCGGACTGATATCTATCATCATGCTTTTCCAATTCATCTCTCAAGTTCCAATGGAGAAAGCCTAGACTACGCACTTGACTTCCTACGCCACGCTCTAGCTTTCTCCGTGCGCGTGAGTGCTAGCATAGTTGCTGCTTCTGCTCCCTACGTGACTGCAATGTGCTTGCCTCGTCGGCGGTAAATTCCGGATTCAATAAGTTTTCTCCGAGAGTTGACAATTTTGACCGTATCCTGAAGGACTGACAATGTGTCAAAGATGCCACAGCTTAGTATACCAGAAAAGCAATGTGTACCCCCAGAAGCCAGACATCAGCAGCCGTGCACCGTGTCCTCGAGGCTCTGCAGCAGCGCGCTCGTCCTCAGGTCCCCGTCCTACAAGCGCAAAGTCCTATCATCACAGTCGTACGCTACCTACCACCTAGTAGTAACTGGCCGTCGGGTGAGAAGGCCACCACCTAGACTTAATCAGATCAGCCCTCGGTTGAGGCTCAGGGGAAAAGGGTCTGCACTCCGCAGACCGCGGTGGGTCTCAACCTCATCTCCGAGGCAGGACGCCACGACCCACCACCTAGCTATCACAACCGAACCACTGCAGGGCCTCAAGTATCTGCTGGTCAATTGGCACTAGTCACTTTGTAGTAGGCTACCGCGAGAGTCTTGAGAAGAAATTGAAATAGCCCCTCGAGGCCGAGGGTCTGCACTCGGTAGTAGGCTAGCCGGGGGGCGAACTCACCCTCATGGCTCATGCGCTCTTGGTCCCTGAAATAAGCCGGATCCACAATAGCTTAGTACTTACGACTTGTCCCCTTCTACAAAGATTGGAGCCAACGATAGAGATCCTTCATAATCGTGAGTCTTGAGGGCAGACGGAATCACGTAGTGATGACTTGATTCGTGTCAATATAATGTCTCTTAGTAGAATCTTTTGCAGTCTGTATTCATCTACCTTTTCATTCTTTATAGGACATTGCTTAGAAAAGGGTCTACGTGGAAGAGTGATATAGATTGATATCTGAACGTTGTATATTCCACGTGTGGTTAGCAGCGAGTCAGCAAAACCCTGCCATAATTAGGGGTTGAACGGTGACCAATGGCATTGTTTCCCATACTAACACCCACTGTAACAACTGGAACACTATTGATTTGCTCCAAATGAGATACTTTATTTCCAAAGAGGACCGCTTTAAAAAATCTCGTTTTACCCCCCTTACCACCCTTGATGGAGTGATCAACTAGCAAAGCCTTCACGGGAGCTAGGATGAACGCTCTTCTAGTTCCAGCACTAAGGCAACAAGTGCCGCCTCGAATAGGCCTAGCCAGGTCCGCTGCAAACAGTCTATACCAGACTTTCATCTCCATCTTGACTGAGCTTCGTAAATCGCCAACTTCTTCTCCAAATGGACTAGTAGTGCTCCAGTCTCAAAAGTGGCAGCATACTGAAGTGTCGCTCGATTGCAATGGATATAAAAGTATGGAAAGTTCCTATTCTCTACAGGTATCAGACCTGCAATATCAGCCTCATAACGAGTCTGTCTCAACTTCTTCCTCCTTCTTTCCCCCAAGCTCAAGTAGCTCTTTTCGCGACGAAGAACAAGCAGCTTGAACATGCTATGCCTCCGGGTCAGCAGAAGGGCAGAAATGTCAATCTTCCAATGGCTACTTTGCCTAATGGCAATGTTAGCACATATCAAGACGGCTACTGGCCGTGCAGTCTTTGCCCACTACATGGTGAGCAAAACCATATCACAAATCGACACAATAAAAGCAGAAGACTCACAATCCTAGGTCGGCAATATCACAACTGATCATATCCAGCAGGATGTGGACGATGCCATTGCTATGGGTCTTGATGGATTTGCTCTCAACGTCCAATGCCCAACGGATAGCTTCCCTGGTAAACTTGTTCAAGAGATGAGCCACTATATCGTGAATCAGGGCTACGATTTTCGTATCTTCATCAGTATGGATGTGTACGCATCTGGGGGGCCCTCCTGTGGTCAAGGCCCTGCAGGCTATGTCACTCTGTGTCGCGATGCTATGGGTTATGGGGCATACTACACGGTGGGTGACAAATACATGGTGAGTACTTATAGCTCCGGTGGAGGAACTTGGCACAATTGGGAGGCCTTCAAAGCTGCCGTGACAGGCAATGACGGCTATGATGTATTTTGGATTCCCGATCTCGACGACACAGAGGGTTATTGGACGAGTGACGCTGGCTGGTGGTATTATTGGGGAAACCTCACCGACGGACTTTTTAGCTGGGAATCTGCATGGCCAGCGTTGGGACAAGATGCCGCCGACCAGAGCGGAGGCATTGGAGGAGTGGCTCGCGACCAGGTGATCATTGATGCGGCTGAGACTGAGGGTGCCTCCTACATGATTCGTGGGTCTCTCCTCGCTTCCGTTGGTTGAGGCTTCCAGTCGCTAACCATGAACTTATAGCCCTGAGCTTGATGCAGTATAAGAACTCGGTGAAAATCTCTCTATTCCCTAGCCACTAAGTACCTTACTGATTGCATTCAGTACTCGACCAATGTTTATCGCCAAGGAGAGACCAATTTCATGCAACGGCTTCACGATATTTTGGAAATCGAGAGCGATGCGCTCGAGTTTGTGGAATATATTACCTGGGTAATTTGCTCTTCCTGAGGCTTCACAGATCTACAGGAGGTGAATCACTGACAAGCACAGAATGATGGACCGGAAGGACATTATATTGGAAACCTGTGGCCTGAGCAGAACACCGATGCGGCACCCAACAACTACGCCAATGAAATTTGGCCCCACGATGCCCTCCAGCCTATCATACAGTCCTTTGCCACAGCATTCAGAGCGTCTGCTGGTCCAGCTGATATGCGGCCTCAGAATGGAAAAGATGCGGTGGGTGCCATCTGGTACCACACGCTTGCTTTTGACGATACCTGTCCTTTCGAAGGAATTGGAGAATACACGTTTTGGGATAAACCAGCGGGTTACGAAACATTTTCGCTAACCACCCACTGGGCCGTTGTCCTCGATGATTCAGTTGGAGGGTACGCTCCTAGCGACCTAGAGCTCATCATCACTACAGCAGCTGATGACCAAGTTGTGGTGACCGATCTCAGTGCCGGATTGAACTTTGCTCAAGGGCCGAATATCAATGGAGGGTATTCAGTCTCCATGATACTTGCCCCTAAATCAGGCACGACCGTTTTATATTCCGCATCAGGGGGGAAATGTCCCGCTTCCAGCTGCGCGGAAGGCTTCTACAACCTCAATTATCAGATTCTGCCTTTAGTTCCGGGTGATAGCGGCAGCGGTTGCACTTACGAGGAGACTGTGTTGCGGTATACGCCTCTGAATACCACCGCGGATAATACCATCGATTGCGAGGGTCTGTTGACATTGACCGACACGGCAGTCACTTCATGGGAAGTCAGCCAGGCTGGCTTGGCCTTGGAATTCGAGACGACGCGTCATGCGTTATCAACTAGCCATGGTAAGTAAGGCACTTGCCGTATTCGCTCATGCCGTCTAATGAATCCCAGTGTTGACTACGACGCTTCCAAACATTGATTCCTACTTCAACAAGTATAGCATAGCAGGCGTCACCGGCTGCTCAGATATCACTAATGACAACGCTTGCAAACTACCTACAACCTGCCCGGCCTCAAACGACCAAGTTCCATATTTCTTCGCTCAACGGGCCTTTTCCGTCTTCCAGCGATGTCTGCGGGAGATGTCCACGTCTGTGTTTGAGGACGGTTTTATTACCTCTTTGGATATTGATAATATGGTTGGGGATGTTACGAGTTATTTGACTCCCAAGAGCGACGAAGCGGATCTAGTCAAGATCATGGGGGCCATGGCCGCGGGATTCACCATTCTTAGTGGTGGCCTCGGCTCAATCAGTACCTTTACCAGTTCTTTCTCAGCACTTTTGGGCGGAGTTTTCAGCATGATCTCCGTCTTAGCCAACCCAAGTGACCCAGCCGACAGCAGTGCTTTCTTAGCCGAGCCGGGCACTGCTCTATCAGATCGCCTCTCCGTGGTGGTCCAGCAGTACAACACTAGCTTGGTCAATCTGGCTCAAGCCGTTTTCGAGACAGGTGATCTGTCTTCTTTTCCAGACTACGCACTTGACACCTCGGCCGATATATATGGGAAATATTATACCACCGACATGGCCAAATTCTTCGCCGGGGGCCGGTTCGCAGATCCCAACATGGCTTGTGACAATGTTGCCAGTGGTCTCAAGACCGCGATCCAACAGTCTCTCGTGGGATACATGCTCGCCAGCTCCAACGTCTACATCATCCAGAACGGCCATTCTGTCGACAACTGCGCCGGCAGTCGAGGCACTGTGCTGAATCTCGATCAGGCGGGGTCAGTCTGCTACACCCTCGAGCGACCCGGGTCAGGTTCCTACTACGAGGATCTCTCCGACCCCCTCTCAGCGGACTTCTTCGACGTTCTGTACAATTCATATAGCATCAACCTCCCGGCTCTGATCAGTAGCTCGCTGCAGTGCCAGACCGCGCAAGGCTACAACGGCACCTACAATCCTTCCACGAGCATCATTCCGGGCTCGGGATACGCGATCGACAATCTGCCACCATGCTTCTTCAATCTTCCGGTCCTCTACACGGACTACACGGTGAAAACCACAGGTGAACTGGTGACAACATCGGGGACGCCGTGCCAGCTTCGCGAGGGGACCGAGGACGATGGAGCGGGCAACTATCTTCCGCCGAGCCTGGCCAAGGTGTTCACCGCTCACTTTTGCCTCTACAAGCCAGGCCACTGAGGTACTAGTCACTTATGATATTGGCCTCCAGCTGTGATCCATGCACCCAGCACATGTTGTTGGTTGCAAGCTTCGGAGATCTCATTATTGTATCCGGAGACTGGCCGCCGGAATATGAAACATTGAAGTTATCTCTCGATCTGGAGGTTCTCTCTGGTTGCAGTAGGGTTTGTGCTAATAAATGTTCTTTATAGCAAGTGCTCTTTAACTTCTGTGTACATATATTATACATAGTTTACTGTTGACCGAAATTCGAGGTGCATACCATCGACTCCTGGAACAAATCGCCATAGAGTATAGTATCACTTGGAACGCAGGCATCCGAACATCCCCCTCATCCGTTGGAGAATTGATGATTTATACAGAGAGAGAGAGAGAGAGAGAGAGAGAGAGAGATGGCACTTCTAAGACAATCGTCTGTGACCTCTTTTATTCTTCCTTCCTTTTTTTTTTTTTTTTTTTTTTTTTTTTCAAAAATTGCAGACAAAAGTATAGCGCTCTCAGCCCATCCATCCAGTTGATATACAATCTCATGGCGGGTAAGATAGCTAGCTCTAAGCTAGGATTAACAATGATATCCCATCGCTTCTTACATTATATCCTCCAACAGGGTAGAATGAATTGACTATGATACGGAGAACTCAGTTGATATTGTTAATCCTTCTCGTTCATCAATCAGATTTCTCGGACGAGAGAACCGAACTGAAATGTCTGGAGGTAGAGAATTGGCTGCGCGGTTGCTGGTGGCTGAACTTCCCAGGCCGGGTCTGAATCGACACGCTGCAGTTGCATGCCTTGCGGTGCGGTGGGAGGGAGGAATTGTTGGGACCTATGGGTAACGGAGTACAGAGTACAGCGATGTTCTATTATGATTAGTGCCTGCATCGCGCAGTATGCTTGGGACTATCATGCAACTGACTACGGAGTATACCGGTAGTATAATGGGACACGTGAGTGAGGTTAAAGGGATGGGCATCGCTCAATCAAGCAACTATCCCGAGGTGCATGCAGCGTTGCCGCGTGTCAGAACAAGCAGACTCCGAGTCTTGAACGGACTTCTTCACCACGTAATCCAGAATGACTAGCGATCACAGATCGGTCGATGTAGTCAATGGACGATCATTGCGAAGATTCCACGAATGGCAGTGGCTTGGATCCTTGATTTTATTCCATCAATGGGAATTACACTATTCAATCTACTGCATTGTCTACTTCTCTTAACTGCTACTTCTCTTACTACTGCCCCCCCCCCCCCACCAAAAATCAGGTCGGTCATGATCATGCCATAGTTATATTAAACAAGGTTACTGCGTAATCATCATCAATACGATGGGATATGGTAAGCTGAAATCATTACACCAGCACACCATAGCACCCCACACGAAGGAATAGGAAAAGAAAAAAAAAGATGCGGTCTAGGCCACATATTGGTACCGGTTTCCTTCCTCGCGTTCCATGTAATCCTTCTCGATGAGCCTGCACGTTGAGAGCATGGTTAGTCCGAAGTTTCTTTAGATAGAGATTGTTGTCTGACACTCACTTTTCAATATTCTTCTTGATTTCTGCCGGCTCAAGCACTCCCCGGCTCCGCGTGGCCTTGATCACCTCGGCCACTAACTCCGGATGGGTGATGGTCTTGCGACTCTTCATGATGCGGACGATGGCCGCCTGCGTCTCGTAGTGGCGGTCCGCCGCGACCCGCTCATGCGTCGTCTTGTTCTCCTCCTTGGTCTCCTTCAGCTGGATCTGGTTGATCTTGATCCGCATCTTCGGGTCGGAGAACCCAGGGTTGTAGGCGAATTCGTCCGTCTTGTTGACCTCGCGGCCCTTGGGCTTCTTGGCCAGCACGCGGTACTTCGCACACGCGAGGGATTGGAGCGTTCGCTGGAGTTCCTGGTCGGCTATATTCCAAAGCAGTCAGCAAGGAATCCAATGCCCTTACGAGTAGCGTACTTACACAGCATGGTGGCTTCCTGGATTTGGGTGTAGGTCAGGGATCCGCCCTCTGGAAGATCGTTGAACAGTAGCAGGACGATCGCCTGTAATGAGCTGACCACGAGTTCCTTGTCGCCCTTGGGGAACCGGGCGCGCAGCTGACAGTGCGCCAGCTGGTGCTTCCAGTTGAGTTTCCGCCCGTTGTATTTGGTGTGATAGAACTTCTCGAAGTCGTCCACACTGGTCGCGATCTCGGCGGGTATCCGCACCGTGACGTCGGGATATGTCGGCCAGGCGGCCGCTGAAAGCACGCTGACGCTCAGGTCAACCGGGAGCCGGTGTCGCCGCTCGCGTTGGATGGAGCTATACGCGGCCATCTCATCACGAGCGACATCCATGTCCTTGAACATGGACTCCAGGTTGTGTGTGAAGCTTGATCCGCATTCTGAATTCTGTTAGTAAGAGCCCGATATTCTGTCCCGCAATGGACCAGCAGGGCTTCAAAAATGAGGGAACGTACCAGTCTTGAGCCTCGAAAGCATGCTCTTTTCCGCATCGTCACTGGCGCTCCGGCCCATTAACAGCCTGCGCGCAAGGTCGTTCTTGTAGAATGCCTCGAACACCGCTTTGCCGTGAACAAACCGGAACAGATCCAGCACCTGATCGAGTTGCCGGTTGATTTCGGCATCTTCATCTGCCAACGGCATATCCTCCGCTTTTCGTGTAGGGGCCAGCTTCCAGCCGCCCTTGAGTAGCCTGTCCACGTATTTTGCGATCATTTCTCCAGTCTTAGGATTGTCGGTTCCTCCCGTAGATGCAGATTTTCTCCCCATGTTCATGAAGGTTTCGAAGGCTTCGCGAAGGACGTGGCCTAGCTCTTCGTTGCGATGGAATGATCCATTCCAAAGGTCGTCAAGCTGCTGCTTGAAGTCTAACAGACGCGCCACCATGTCTGCTTCTTTCTCCTCGTCGAACACGATCGCGGACCCTTCCTCGATGATATAGGTACTGAATGAGGTCCTCAGCTTGGCTCCCAGGTCTTTGCGTTGGAGGAGGGAGTAAAGCCTTTCCAGGGCAACTTTGTTACCCGCCCGTAGGAGGCCCAGTATATCCTTCTGGTTGAGCAGAACCCCTTCCTGCTCAGCGACTAGAGTCCGATCGAGAATTTCTGCAAGTTTCTGTTTCGTGCTTCGATTCAGAGAAAACAGTTCGCATCGGTTGACCTCCCGCTCAATCAACTTATGGCTGCTCTCCGCCAATGTCGCCAGATAGCCGGCTGCTTCTCGTTGAACCCATGAAGAGAAGAACTTGTCCGATTCGGCAACAAAGACCGGCTCGAAGGCGGATGTGTAGATATCAAGTCCATGGAATAGATCGATAGCATTTCGGAGTAAGGATGAATCGGCGACCATACTCTTTGCTTCGTCCCGGTCCGCTTCCACTAGGTCGCAAGCGCCTTGCAGGATCTTTGGCTCTAATACTGGATCGGAAAATATGTGCTGCCGGAACTGAATCAAGCCCATCTCGCGAATGACGGGATACTCTTTGGAGTGGAGGAGGAAAGACTGGTCGAGATAATAGAAGATGGAGCGGACGGTTACCTGATGACTGTCAGTGAATCTCAATCCGCGTCGACCTGATGAGGCGGTTGGTCACCATACCAGTTTGGACTGCCATAGCGACCATGCCTCGACAACCGCCCGCAGCGTTTCGATGTTGGTGCCACCAGCCGCCTGCGCCGTCAGCTTCTCGCGCAATTTCCCGGTGACGTAGTCCCGACATCGATCCGAGAGCCGCTTGGCCAGGGCCGCGGCTCTCCCCTGCCGACAGACATGCTCGGCGCCTTTATAGAGTTCCTCCAGCGACTTTTCCGGCTTCCCGCCACCGAAAATTGCCACTAGCGCGGCATCAAGCTGATCCCAGACCTTCTCGAAGTATGCATCCGGGTTCAACCGGGACCCGGTCCGGAGATTCTTGACAACCAGCCGCTTCGCACCAGTATGCGGGGTGAAGTTGCCCTGGCGCGACGCCGCATTGAACGGTCGAGGTCGGACCGCAGGGTTGGCCGCGCCGGCCCCGCCCGCGGTTTGGCCCATGGCCTCGCCTAACCGAGGCTCCGCATTCGTGAAGTTATACATCCTTTCGGGCGAGGTCTGTTCTCGAGGGCTGACTAGAGGGTGGGAGGGGCCTGGGAGGGTGGGCGACAGGCGCAGACGCTTGGTTGTCGGGGACTGGTGTTGATGGCTTCGGCTGTCGCCGTGAGCGGGGTGGTGATTACTGCGTGAAAGAAGCTCGGAGATGGTCGCTTGCTGCTGCGGCTGCTGGCGCGAGGCGTCTTCTGAATCGGATAGCTTTCTTTTACCGATCGATTTGCGCTTACCGCTCCTCTGCTCGGGGGCGCCTCTTGAATTCTGCTGCATCTACCCGGTTCAGTCCGAGGAGAAGGGTGGTGAGGGTATGGGAGCGCTCAGCGTCGGAAGGACCCAGAATCAGTGCGGGCGAGCCCTATCATGCATGGCAAGTCTTTTCTCAGGTCAATTCTTGAAATCCACAGTACACTGCTGGGGAGAAGGCGAGGACAACAAAATGGTGCGACGATGGAGGACGATGACTGAATCGAAGTGAAATGGGCAGCGTGCAGTGGTGGTGAGGTTAGTAGGTTTGTCGAAGGGGCGTCACAGGCTAGATTGAACCACCGGCGGCACGGACTGGGACTGACTAAAAGTCCCCGGAGATAAGATAATACTTCCGTTCATGGCGGTAGACATGATTGGCTAAGACCCCCCAGTATGCGTATTTTGGAGGACCCCGCCATGTTATACCTAGTACAGTACTGTACATCTACCTCTGAACCTTGTTATTCTTGGTAAAAGTCCACCCTCTAATGTCTCATTCCTGAGCTAATTTAGTTCGCGCCATCGGCTGATAAACATATTCATATACATCAAAATCCCTATCAAAAAAAATCCCCCCCATAGCTTGTCCAGCTACCCGACTCACAAGAGGTCCGGCTCATGAGAACAACGGCTCCCCTGTGCGTTCTTCAAGTTCCATCTCCTCGAACTAGAGGAATCAAAATTAGTGGAAGGAAGCGAATCGAGGAAAATAGGGCAGCACGTACATCGAGAAAGTCGGTGGCGGTAATGAGCGCCATGTAAGACTTGACAAGGCTACCCAAGGTGCCTTGATGGTCCGCATTACCAGTGCCGCTAATCCGAGCAAATCGCTTGAAGATGCCCACCATGCCTTGTCTGTTTTCGGTGAGGAACGTGCGCGTTCGTTCCATCATCTGCTCGTTGTGAAGCCCGCGAGAGAACACCGCTGAGACAACCACCCGAAGACAGGCATCAAGCAGTTCGTAGTACTTGCGTAGAGCATCGGTGTTGTCAATATCTGCTTCCATTAGTGAAAAGATCAAGCCATGGAAGCGGAAGAACCGATGTACTTACCGATTCCAAGATCAGGGTCGGCGGCAAAGAGCTGCGACTCACGCACGGCTTGGAAGAGTCCAGTCCTCAAGACATGCGTGGCCCCAACCTTTGTTTGACACAGCTCCTGGAACAAAGACAGCAGAGATTGATAGTAAGACAATAGAAGGGGGGTATCTATTTCATTGATCTGTCAGTCATGCGATCGGCCAACGAAAGGACTCGAGCTTACCGCTTGCTTGGGTGTTCTTCAGTTCCACTGGCAAAACCCGGATCGCGTCGAGGAAAAGGCTTAGGTAGTTCGTCTGCGCTATCAATTCAACCAAAACTGGATCCGTCTGTCTATCTAAGACAGCCAAAAGATTGAGACATAGAACAGCCGAGACACGACATGTCTCCTGCCCGGCATATGCATCATCGCAAATGGCTTCGACCAGGGCATGGCCGGTTGCCTTGATGATCTGCTGGCTTTGATTCTTAATCAGGTCATGAGCCGCGTTGGATGAAACGATGCGGGCAACATAATGCCAACATATGTTGTAAAGACTCTCCCTGAGACTGACATTTCCAGTAGCCATGATCACGCCGCGCACGCAAATATGGAACATCTGGTGAAGCTTCTCATCAAGCACATCGCCACCCCTGCGCGCAGTGTTCAGGTTTGGCTTGGGAGATTCGGAGCTAGAAGACTCCAGCTTGCTAACCAATGTCTCGGTAAGTCTTGCCAACTCTAACGCCTCCGGCATATCATTCTGAATAGCGGCTTCAAGTTTGGGTAGAATGAGCTGGAGTGAGTGTAGAATGAAGGTAGTTCGTCGGCCGCCTTCGATCTCTGCAGAGGAAAGCATGGTTGTGATAAGCTCAGCCCAGGATCGAAGGGCCAAGAAGCGATTGAACGTGATCTGTCGGAGCCGGTTTGTTGCTTCTATGAACAGCATGAGACTTTCGGCCTCAGCAATAAACTGTTCCTCGTGTAAATGCCCTCTAGCGAACAATTCCTCTTTTCTCACTTGAATCAACTCCACTACCTCGGCCATATTGTATAGAACCAAGGAACGGTCTGCCTCTGGTCTCGCACACACATCAAAGTCAAGGCCCTCGAGGACAAGAAGATCAGGCATAGGTAGAGAACGTGCAATGTCTAGATCGGCAAAGTCGAAGAGATCAAACACAGAAGGATTTACTGTGGTCTCTCCTGTCTCCGACGTTGAGGTGCCGAATAGGGTGGAGATAAGTTCGGCTTGAAGAGTCGGTGCTCCAAGCTTAGCAGCCGAGCGAATCTCTATGGCGGCGTAATCGAAAAGGAAGCTTCTGAGGAGTAAAAATTCCGCGTAAGCCGAAGTCGACTCAGCTAGCCAGAATTCATCCGCAATAATTGGCAAACCATCCCATGACGTGTGAGGTCCGATTATGGGCTGAAGTGCGAGCATATTAGCGAGGAATCGGGAGCCACGCATCTCAGCAAGTGTGAAATACGACGATATCTTCGATGACCAGAGATTCTTCAGAACTTGGAACGCCATACGCTTCATCTGCATCAGCCACGGAAGAATATTGCCATCCATTGCACCAGGAAAGTCTTGCACGAACTGGATGATGGCATGCAGCAAGGACATCTTGTTGGCAAACATGCCATCAGGGGAGACGTCAAGAAGACTACCTATGCTATTGAAGCCGAGAAGGAGGTGAGCTATCGTTGGTCTATCGCTTATCGACCCAAGACAGCCGTTCAAAAGTGCTAAAAGGCTTTTCCTGATAATGTAGGCCGGGGACTTGTCGCCGGCCTCCAGTTCCCGATCATCGACTTCCATTTGATGTGTGAGAGGCCGTGCTAGGTTGTCCAAGTCTACCTCAGAGCTGAGGACCTCGACGATTTTGTTCGAGGATCGCCATTTAGACAATTCAGGGGACATGATTTTGTTCAGTTTCGGGGAGCTCGACAGCTTCTCTAACAGTGTCATGGACATGACCGTGAGTTCCTCATGTCCGGTACTGCAGTAAAGACACAGTGCAGGCACAATGGTCAAGTTGTTTAGAATGCTGTCTTCGAAGGCCGCAAGGGAAGAGTTGGCCACAGTCGTCCTATTTGTATCCGCTTGTGACCTGATCATCGGTCTGACAATGTTAAAGTAGGTTGACTGAAGGTCAAGAATCATATTCATGACATTCAAGCTTCTCAGCAAGGAGAGGACGAGCGTGGAATCGGACGATGCCCTGGCGACCTCGTTCACATCTTGTTGGGCTGTGGCAAACAGAGATTTGATGACATCCTCGTTGAACAACCATTCTGCAACTCGCGCGAAGGGGTGAAGACGAATGTATGTCACCATTGTCGAAGACTTGAAAGCAGAATCTGGTGACACTGACGGCTGACTTAAGACGGTCACCAGATTTTCGTTAAATGAATTGAGACAGCATGCCACAAATTCCAAACAATTAAGGGTCAACAACCGAGTCTGGCGCTCATTCATATCAGGGACCTTTCTTGAAAGAGCGTGGCCCATGATGAAGTCAACATATGGCTCAATGCCAGCCGTGCGGTAGGAAGAGCCGAGATTCTCCGGGAAAGGTAACGAGAGATGAAATTCGGCGGACTCAGGGGTAGGCGTAACAAGTGAGGAGACCAGAGTGACAAAAGCATTGGCTTGATCGAAACGCTCACCAATGTTCCGAAAGATTTGCTGCTCATACCATGCGAACGCATTGCTATTCACGGGAGCTTTAGCAATACCTGCAGTATTCGGGTTGGAAATCCACTGATCGATAGAGAGCCACATCTCGTTGCCATTGTGGGCCGTTCGTTCGGTCATGAGAGCTGCGAGAGCTGTGAAAACATTGGCCCTGAGATGAGTGGGCACCGATCCACTGCAAAGCATCAACAATGTGCCGACGACGTTGAAGGATGGGTGGTGAAGTAGCCAATCTCTAATAGTAGCGCTCTGTCTGCACAGATGATCCAAGAGTCTGAGGTAGCAAGTAAGCATCACAGGACTCTCGGGCTCACTCATATCAGCTGGATTCAACTTCCTCGAGCGTAGGACTGCCTGTGACGCTGGCTGCTTGTTCGTGACTCTTTCGGCGTACAACTCTAGCTCAGCGAACATCTGGGTCCAATTCATAGATGTCGACCGCTTGAACTTAGCAGAAAAAAATTTGTCCTCCTCGGAAAGAAACCGGTGGGCTGCAGTGGCATTTTCTTCGCCCACAGAGATGGAACATAGCAGTTCACAGAATGCGCTAACCCTAGGAACGGTTTGTCGCTTAGAGGCCCACTGGAGGAAGCCGTACAAATTTGAGTCAGGATCGGCCCAAAACTCCTGCGCGGCGTCAGGCCGTTGTTCGAACGCGAAAGCCATGATCATCAAGAAGGATTCAAGGTGTGTGCGAGCTTCGACTACGCCACGATGAGGCGTGGAGGTCAAGCCATCTCGAAGAGCTGTGAGGTGATCAAGCCGTTGAGAGTCTTCTTCGGTTTTCAACATGCGAACAGCATCCGGCATGTTTGCGATGCAGGCCTCAGAGAAAAGCTCGAAGCTCTCCATGAGAAGAGTCTTCAGAAACTCGGAGCACTGGTCTAGCTCGAGCATTGCTGAAGCAACCTCTTTCAGAAGCAAAGCTACCAACTCACTGCGAGCTGGATCTGCCCATTCCTCATTATTGATACCATAACAGACTGTAAGCAGGAGATCAAGTCCGCCGTCATCCAGCGCTGTCATGAACAAAGCTGTGCGCTCATCTGCGTCTTTCTCGGGTTCCACTCCCTGCACAGGCGAGGATGGAGCATCGAAATCCCAAGCGCTGAATATTGCGAGCCAGAGTGTAATGATTGCGGAATGAAAAGTGGGCAGCTTCCATTCTTGAGCGACCGTTGTAGTGACGATCTCCTTATGCAGACTTTTGGCTTCTTGATAGGAGCTCGATTTTTCAGGGGATCCGTGTTGCTCAAAGGCAGATACGATGCATGGGATATAGTGAACAACTAAACTGTCGAAGCGATCAAGGGTCCGAAGATGCTTCACGAGAACTCGAAGGTCTTCAGGGCTGGTATAAGGGCCTTTGAAAAGGTAGCTTAGAACGGCGCCAAGCGTTTCATGCTGCTGCAGTAGGCTGTTGCGCTGGAACTCTAGCAACTCCATGGTATCAGCATCTTCGATCTGACCGACAAGCGTCGCCTTCTGAGCCTGATCGCCGAGGAGCGAAAGCCACTTCTCCGCATCCACCATGGCAGTCATGCACTTTCGGGTGTATAATGAAGCATTCCGCAAAGGACCATTCTTGATTTCAACCACGTGGGCCATCATTTCTTGCATGATTATTTGGTTTGTTTCCCTTTCTACCTCGAATGATTCCTGGAGAATAAGGCGCAACGAGTCAAGCAAGAACTGCCGGCGCTGGTGAAAGCGCATGATCGCAACGTTGAGAAGGGGCCTGTCGAGTGATTGAGCCTCGACTTGCGCATCGAAGAACAAGAACGCAGCTTCGAGTTCATCGATATCCAGGGTATCCGCAAGCTGGAGTACGCCTTGTTGAAAATCCTGGTTGATGGAGTATTCGACATTGCCAATGGTTACCTTCCCTAAATCGCATTGCAGACATGATCAGCATCACATTGGCGCCAAATCAAGCGAGCAGCCTCGCCTAAGTGCGTCCCTTGAGATCCAGGAGCTAGCACATACCCGAGAGAACGGATTGTCGGCTTGCATTGTTTTTCGTGGGTTTGTCGAGGAGCTTCTTGAAGTCTTCAATGTGAGTCTCCAATTCGACTCGGAGACGCTCGATATTGACAACGAAAGCTGACGAGAGGTTTTGCAAATCCTGATTCAAGCCCCGAAGGCTTGCAACAGTATCTGTGTCCTCCATGCCTGGCAGGAAGCTTGCTCTTGCAGCAGCCAACTTATTGCGACGAGCACCAGCGAAGCGGAAGATGGGGGAGATGTGTTTGTCCGGGCCAAAAAAGGTCGGAGGACGCGACCAAAATCCCGGGCGGTCAAGAGCGGGTCCTTCTCCAACTGGCTGTTGTACTGTACCTCTATCTAATCGCCCGCCGCACGAGGACCAACAACAATTTCAGATTCACATGCGGTGTCATCGAACCATACCAGTGCAGGCACTCCCGTAGACTGTGGGATGAAGGTGGTCGCACTGCTCTGGGAGACCTCAGGTCCTCGTCATTATGGGAGAAATTACCCTCGAAGGAGCCATTGCGCTTCTGGCATCTGATAAGCTCAAGGCACGGTCAGATGGTCTAGCCGGTTGGTCACCTTTGATTACCTTGGCAGCACTTTTAATGGCAAAAGCTCTAACACTGAATAGATCTCAAACATATACTACAGCAAAACAGAAAAAGTTCTAAGTTGTACGTCAAAGTCCCATGCTGAAATGTATGTTCCATTTTTGGGAATCTTTGTGGATTGACACATACGTGTGTAACCTTATAGAAACACACTCAATGACAAAGCCTGCCACAAGCTGTTTGAGTCCTTATTTCGATATGTCTCAGTGGAAAAGTCCCTGTATACACGCGCAAGCTCGAAAGGGGCCTCTGCCTCGCGTCTAGCATCATGTGCATCCGTCCTTCGCACGGCCATTGATGTTTTCTTGCCTAATTTACGGACGAAGTCGGTCCGCGCGATAGTTGACCACGTCACGGAGACTGTATCAACTCCCGGAGCTCCTCTTGCAGAGATCCTCGGTGTGGACTACATCAAATGCTTGACTACTCTATTGAGCTTTCCTCCCCACCTTGAACACCTTGCCGGCAATGAATGGGACAAACTTCTAGAGTTTTGCCTACAAATTCTAGGGTCGCACGAGACTGACCGTCAAGAAAGTGCGCAAACCCATCGCTTGTCTACCTTAGACAGTTTTGTTGCCTCGGCCAATGGTGCCTCAACACCGTCCAGAGTGTCCTTCAGGGAAAATTCTAGACCCGACACAAGTGCAGTTACAGAAGCTGTTTTATGTATTAAGCTTCTTATTGGGTGTCCAACAGCTCCGATCCTTGAGTCAGCCGAGGAGATCCTTCAAGAGCTAACCAAGCTTCTGAGCTCGTCAAGCTTGGCTGGGAATGGCTACCAAGCCGCCTTTGATTGCATCAATAGAGTCATGATGAAGGTATTGCCTGAACAGTCAGATCTTGCTCGGACATCATTGCTCAACCTTATCCCGGTGATCAGGCGACTGTGGCCCACTAAGATTCTAGGCTTGAAGGATGAATTGATTGTGACTTCTATGCTATGTATAATTACTCTGATTGACGCAGCTCACAGAGAGCCGTCCGGATCTCTAATTCACACGATCGAAGATATGTTGGTTACTCTGCAGACAGAGTACACAAAACGGCCAGAGAAGGATATGTTGCAGTTGGACGAGCTATCCTTCCACCGTTTCACTTCGACTGAACGGCACGAATACTTCACTTGGCCTCGTCTCGACGCCCCAAGATCCGAGCATAATTGGACTATATTGTGGGTTACAGCCAAGCTGATTGAGCTATTAGAGGACATCGCTGTGCGGCTTTCTACTCCTTCTGAAGTTAAATCTTCGACGAAGAAGCGTCGCCTGACCTCGATGTTCGACGATATTATTCGACAATCCACAACTGCCTCAAATGCAAGCAGAGTCTGCGCCTTACAATTACTACCTTTTCTCCACAATTGCTACCGGAGCATTGATTCGAAAACTATGTTGCTTGAACGATTACTTCCTAGTATGCTTGACGATAACAGTGCCATTTCTATATGGACGATGGTTGCCATTGCAAGGTTCGTCAGGCATGCCGAGTACTAGAGGTAGGAAGTGACTGACGCACTAGATTGTAGTATCGCAAGCAGTCCAAATGCAGGCTCATTATCCTTGAGATCGTATTGGGAACAGGCTTGGGAACTTGCGTCTCGGGCTTCAACCTCCCAAGCAACATCCAGAGCAGCTTGCAACGTCATGCACAACATTCTTCACTTTGACCTTCTAGACTACTCTGTGGTCATCCAGTCAATCAATTCGATGCTTTCTCCTAGCAACCTGAATGGACCGTCTTCTCTGTCCGATTCATCTCTAGCACTCTGGGCTACAATCATTCGTAAGACAGCGCAGATCAACCCGGGATTAGTCACGGAAGCTTCAAGTAAGATATCGTCTTGGCTTCGCGAATCGTGGACAATAGGTTTGTCTCGGGACCATTCAAAGCTATCGCTCAATTCACTGATTTTGAACAGGGACGGTGACAGATCGTATGCATATAGCACAAGTGGCATCATTCGCTCGCCCTCTGGATATTATCAATGTGCTTCTTGCTTGTACAAACAGACGTCTTTCTTTGCCAAGAAGTCAACCTGGAGGATTTAACAGTACTGTTGCCAAAGGCTGGCAGTACTTCGTCAGCAACAAGCAGCTGTTGAATTATCTGTTTGACCTCGAAAATGTGCTAGACAGCGCGGATATATGGATTGTCCAGGATCCATTGCCGATGAAATCATATTCTCGGCCTGACCCAAATGATTGCATTATCCTTGACTTGTTGCATACAAAATCCGAGAGTCTCTTGCAGGCCTGGCAGTCACTTTCAAATGAGAAGTCACATCATATAACAACGGATACAGTGCAGATAATTGTGTCCTTCTGTGTCGCTGTTACCCTGTACACGGAATGTCTACCAGAGCAAGTGGGAGAGCGAACGGCCTCTTTGCACAAAAATAGTCAGCTACTGTGGGAAAGTCTATGCTCATTCATGAAAACCCGAGAATCAGTATTTGTGAACGCTTGTCTAGCAATCCTGTCGCCATACCTGACACCGGAGAATTTACTCTCTGCTCCCAAGTCAGTTGTGTCGAATGCTCTGTGCGGCTTGTTAGGTCCCCTGGCGGAAATCCTAGAAGAATCCCGACAACGACAGAGAGAAATATTGAGTTCTCGCGGTGAAGAACCCATGGATTTGGACGATCCAATGCTAACTGACTATGACCAGTTGGCAGAGGTCACAGGCATACTGAACAATAACCGAGAAGCACTTCCCTTGCTCCAAGATGGTGCCACATTTCAACGCTGTCTTACTGTTCAAGTGTCTTGCTTCCAGAAGATATATGTCTACTTGGCCTCTCCTGATCAGCTGTCCAGCGAGGAGGACATTGTTAGGTATTTGACTAGTCTTGACGAGATTGACATTTTGTCTGCTCGGGATTTCCTCCCCTATGTCTATCAGGCCAGTGCTAGCCTAAGCCGCGAATCGTTGCTAAACATACTCGAGGATCTCGCTGAGAAGTGCCTCCAGTCCTACGGATTAGAACGTTGCGAAAACTCTCACCTTGTTTGTCTCCGTATGATGCAAAGCTTTGTCAAATCATGGACTGGGCAAGAGAAAGACCACTTCTCTGATTCGGCGACTGACATATACACATGGTTTGTGGATATACTTCTTGCAAAAAAAAGAGCTTCTCCCTCAGTTCTCATTGCGATGACGGAGCTTCTGGGAGAGATTCTTGTCCACAATTCTGCCTATACAAGCGGCCCAGCAAGCCCCTCTCCCCGTACCTGTCTCTTCACCATACTCCGGCAAGGAGACGCTGCCGTGAAGTTCAGGGCTGGCGAATTGATCCCTCAACTTTTCGGCAATTTCCCTCTCACCAACCACGATGCCATATTCAGTGATGTGTTGAGCAGCCTGCCTCGAGACCCGGACTGGATTGAAGGGATCGCTCTTCGACTTCTCATTTTGGCTCGACTTGCATCTGTGTGGCACACACTACTCCGCAGGAGTATCTATCACATGTTCGAAACTCCTGCTCATGTTCCACTCTCACTACGGTATGCCGAGAAGTGCATGAAAGAGGTTGCAGACATACTTGGGCTCAAAGATGCTAAAGAGCTCTTTCGCCTTTTTTGCTCCCAAATTATCTACACATGGACAGAAGGCCAGTCCTTAACCTCATTACCTTATAGTGTCTTCGGATATGCCAGCACCAAAGATATGTTGCTTGATGTGCAAGATGAGGCTGTCGGTCAGGTCATGATGCGTTGGAATGAGCATGAGGCGGAAGAGCTTGCGGCTTGTACTGGCTTACCGTTCGTTGAACTTGTAGCCGTGTCTTTCTATCAAGCAGAGGCTTACAGCATTGCTCGCGATATCAGTATTCCTCCTAGCCAAGGAAGTCAGCCAAAGGGCGTGGAGAACCAACTGAAGAGGATGCTGGGTGCAGACAGATTCATATCATTGGTTGAAAGGCAGTTTCCTCAAATTATAGCAACCTTTTTTAAAACACTTGATCAATACGACCAAGTCGAAAGAGCGCTTCAAAGGCAGAGCAACTTTCGCGAGGCCCATGATATTCTGAGATCTATCACTGGTAAGAGCTGCTCAAGCACCGTGTTACCTGCAAACCAGCAGCCGTCGTTCAGGGCTCGTTATCTCATCGATGAGCTTGATTTCATTTGCAAGCGTAGTGGATACGAGCTAGCAACCATCTGGACACCTGCTCTAGCAACCTTTACTTGTCGCGCACTGTTGGAATTCATCCACCCAGCCCTTGGCTCCCTTCACGCTTGCTCTGTCATTCGAAAAGTCAGGATCCTCATCAGTGTTGCCGGCCCTGTCATGCTGCGGGATTATCCGTTTGAAATGATCATCCACGCACTTCGGCCTTATCTGGTTGATCTATTCTGCGCAGAAGATGCACTCGGAATCTTTTGGTACATGCTGGACGCAGGAAAGGGCTATCTGAGCGAGTGTCCCGGTCTTATGGCCGGAATAGCGGTTACAACTTTGCTCTCGTTGAGAAGATTCGTTGCATCACCACCGACAGAACCGACACAAGAGGATCTCCTGCGACGGGTAATGGCTAAAGTGGAAGAATTTCTTGAGTGGTTCGAAGCAGCTCTGGACTCTTACGAGTCCTCCGCTATGAGTGCCGAGA